ACAAACAAAACAGAATGATGGCATGCAAATGTAAACAGCAAAAAAATAAACAAACAAACTATCTCAATGGAGGACGTTTTTTTTCGTTCATGTTGCGCTTGTTGTGTGCTTCCGATTGTAATTTTGCGAATAGCTTAAAACTTTTGTCGGCCACTGAGTTGGAATTGCTAGCAACAATTGAACAAAAACTTTTAAAAACTCTAGCACTTATTTGAACAAAATTTAATATCGATCATTCATTAAATGTCCAAAGATAAATAGACAAGCTTAATTTAATTTGAATTCTGGAATTATAAAAGGTCTAATCTACAGATATTCAAAAATTGTCCGTTAATTTTCCCAGAAAAGTGTGTTGTAGCAGAAAAAAACATATTAGTATCAAATTCGTATAAGTTTTAGTAAGACACATTTAATTTGTGTGCAAATTATTCACCACTCTGGTCATAGCTCCTTAAAGGAACAATCAAACCGTGTAGAGCAAACATAAATATGAAATTGTTCATTAGTACCCAATACTAGATGGTTGTCGTTGGAAAACTACAACAATTCCAGAGGGGGCACATATTAACATGTTTGCTCGCAGTCCTTCCCAAAAATGGCCATAAAAATATCACAGTATTACCATCCGATGTACACAGAAGGCCGTGCTGAAACTTTCATTCGCTCTTCATGTCTTGCGATACTTAATTTAAAAGCATCGTGTCACGTATCGTACAGTATCGTTACTTCCGGCGATGGTTTTTGACAGACCTTGTAATATAGAGTTATATGCTGACATTTATTTTGCAAGTTGCGTGAAATTATTCAGTGAGGAGTGTGCGGTTGCAGCGCCAACACTTTGCATTTTCCACTTTTCACTTACACCTCGCTGCGTTTTCACGCCCAAGCAATTTTCAATTGCCCGCTAAAGGGGACGCGTTGTGTCAACAATTTTTATCGTGTTTGGCACCTACATAATTGCATGTGTGTGTGTGTATGTGAGTATGTGTGTGTGTGTGTGCCGCAATGTTCGGTCGTTTCAATTTCATTTCCATTTTCACCCCGCCTCTCTTTCGTTTTCAATTACAAAAAGGGGGGCAGCCATCAATAATAACTTTAGTGGCAGTGTTGCCAGCGTTGTAGCATAAAAACTTCGAGCCGGGTTGCTTTGTTTGCTGTATCGACAAGAAAGAAAAAAAAATTTTGGAGCCTGTTGACATAGTAGGCTTTGCCTTTTGATTCAGTCGGAGTGTGCATCGAATTCTCTCAGTTGTGAAAAATTTGCCGTGCGTAAAACATTTCGGAAAAACTAAAAACCCTCAGAAAGCAAAAAAGAAATCATTTCAAATTTTTTTTGCGCACACAAAAGAGCTGAAAAATTTTCAAGTCAACGAGGAATTTTCGTAACTGATTCTTGATGATTGCAAACGTTTCGCAACGTGGTGGAGGAGCTGCTAGCGGCCCTGCCGCTGCCGCGGCGACGCTGAAGAGCAAGACTTTTGAGAAGATACGGCCCTATAAGGGAGCAAGTGAGTAGTACAGCTAGAGAGACAGCCAAGCCATACATATGTATATACAGACATAATGAGAATGGCAAACACAAGCGAACCGAACCGCAATGAAATGAAATGAAATGTGTGTTTCAATGTCACGAAAGCGCAAAATTGGAGCATAAAGCAAAATTAGCAAAAGTCGCGCGAGCAGCAAACAAAAAAAAAACAACAACAACAAAATGAAAAGCAGAACAAAAACGTTTTAGAAATGTGCGCGCGCGTCGCTCATAATTTTTGTTTCGTCGCAAACTTAGCGCGCAGCCGCGGCCCACCCCCTCACCCCCTAGTCAGTGCTCGCCCCCGCGTGTATCTCGCACACACTCTCACACGCGTTATAATATTATGGGTGTATGTGTGTGTTTGTAGCTTCTAGCTGAGCAGCATTTCATTCTTTCTACAGTTTTTTTGCACAACGTTACGCAATTATCGCGTTTGGTTTGTATTTTTTTTTGCCAATACATTTTGTTTGCTCGTCGCACTGAGCGAAGCATTCCATTTGTGTGTTTGAACGTTTAAACGTCGCGATATAGGCAAAAACACAGCGAACATAAATAAATATAATTACACATACATACCTACATACTCGTACATATAAATATATAGTATTACTGATAATGGTTTTGACGTTTTGCCGAGATAGATTTCTGCTTGTACATATGTACTATTAAGTGTCGGCACCTGGCAACCGCGGAAAATTTGCATTTTCATTTCGTGTGCATGCATGCATGTGTTCGTAAGTGTTTGTGTGAGTTTCTTAATGTTGACTCTGCATAAGCAGGTAATTATGACAAATGGCGTGCCAGACGCGAGCTAATTACATCAAAGTCAATTGAAGGTAAAACTGCACAAAGCCGCATAGCAACTCAGAAGCGGATATGTATGTATATCAGTTAGCCGTTAGCAGCAATCTAAACATGGCCACAACGATTTCTCCTCAGTTGTGTGCAATGAACTATGTACTTACTTTCGTATCTAGCATACTTGTTTATCTCTCATTAGTCACAACATTGACAGCACATAACAACAACATGACTGAGTCAATTCTAAAGTCGGGGAACTCACAGAATTTCAAATACAAACAAAAAACATATTCTTCAACAAAAATATAGAAACAAATATAAAACTTATTTTTATACCCTGTACCCGTAGGGTAAAAAGGGTATATTAGGTTTGTGCAAAGTATGTAACATACAGAAGGAAGCATCTCCGACCCCATAAAGTATATATATTCTGAATCAGCATGACGAGAGAAATCGATCTAGACATGTCCGTCCGTCTGTCCGTCTGGATGAACGCGAGGATCTCAGAAACTATAAAAGCTAGAATAACCAAAGTTGGCATCCAGATTCTCCTAGATCCGAGTAAGGACGAGTTTATTTTTTTTTTTTTAATTTTCCCCCCCTTCCCCCGCTACAGAATCAATAGCGTCCACATTTCAAATGCTACCTAAACCAAACTTTGCACACATAATTTATAAATAAATATCTACTGTTGTTTACAATTTTATTCAATTCGGTCAATTCTAAGAAAAGTTATTAGCGAAACAAATTCTCGCCAGTACAACCCCATCAAACTGCAGCAACAAGATCGCTCTTCTTCTTCCTCTTTTTGCTGCTGCTATGGGCGCATATAACTCAGTGACGCAAGTTTACCTGGGTACAGGGTATTACACTGTCGGGCTTGCTCGACTGTATCGTTCTCTCTTGTTGTTGCTGCTTTGGGCGCATATAACTCAGTGACGGAAGTTTACCTGGGTACAGGGTATTACACTGTCGGGCTTGCTCGACCGTAGCGTTCTCTCTTGTTAAATTTAATTCAATTAGAATTCTGAATTTAATTCTAAAGAAAGCATCGAATATTAAAATATCGTCTGTCTATTAATAAATCGTCTATTGTAAATAGAATAAACAATATAAAAATCAAAAAAAAAAAAAAACACTTAACTTACTGAACAATCAACATAATTACTGTGCTTCTCTTGAATACCTAAGTCTAGATCAATATTCGTATATTAAACTTTTGAGATTATTTAAAGTACCATTATATTATTCCTAACAAGAAATCCAGGTTCAAGTTATCCATTTAACCACATAGAAATCGATTTATTAAAAAAATTCGTTTCTCTTTAGCTTTTGAATGCATTTCAACCAAATGTGTTTGTAAACATAAGCTGAAGCTCTGAAATATCTGTGGTTTTTGAATGCTGTGTACGGCGCACCGTACTTCCTCCATCTGATTTCTCTGAAGTTGCGCCAGACTCATCCAAACATACAATTTCGTCTCCAAATATAAAAGCAAAAGGTGCGATGTGAACGTCCCACTCTTTTTTATTTTGAGATAGCATCAGTCGTACATACAGGCGGTATAGGCGGTATCTTTACAAGGCTATTTATACCAACATCATCTTTAGATTCACGGTTTATAAAGGTATAATATATACATACATACATATGTAACGTGTAAAAAAATGGTGCTTAAGCCATAGGTTGAAAGGGTAATTCTTAATAATTGTTGGCTGTTCGATTTAAAAGTCAATAATTGGTTTAATTAATTCAATCAATACCATGTTATTATAATCGACAAAATAGTTTTCTCAACCATTCCGAACCGTTTTAAATCCGCACAGTTTCGCAACGTCACGCAGCGAAGCAAATGATTAACATACATACATATATGTTCTCTTCTTTCTGTGCAAGACTAGAAGACACACTAGACGCTGAACGTCGTCATTGTCGTCGATGGGGACGTCACGTTATCTAGTCAGCTATAAGCGTGCCAAGCAGCGCGAACACGCCGCGTATACGCAACTTACGCACAATTTGCAAAGCGTGCCTCTATACTATATTGTTTACATTTTGCAACAAACATTTTTGCTCTCTTGCTTTGACACACACGCACGCACTCTCACGCACCTGAACGCCTCTCACCCACTGATCAAAATAGCTTCCCCCATAATGTTTGGTGTCAATGACCCTTTTTGCAATACGCACAGCACGCACGCACTCTCACTCTCCTGCTGCTCCCCATTCTCACTTGGTATCTTTTCCTCTCTCTCTCTCTCTCTCTCTAATGGGCCCAAAGCATTCGCGCCTTTGTTGTCTCGGTGCTGCTGGCAGACTTGACGTCGGTGCGTGTGCTGCGTGCGTAAAAGAGAGCGTTTGCGAATTTTTGTTGCAAATACTCACGACCCCATTCCGACGATTGGCTATCAACATGTTTTTCGCTCGATTCCGCGTTCGTTGAACTTTTCAAGGTAATGTGCGTTAGCAACAACAACAATGGGGCACGCATAAAAAAATTACATGCCTTTCTTCTCCGGCTCCGTTTGTCTGGCTGCTATTATTTTTTTTTTTGGTTTGTTTTTATCTCTTCTTTTTTTGGGCGCACTGAACTTAGTAGTCGGTAGCGCAGTGCTTTGAACTTTTTACACAATTACTAATTTTCTTGAAATATAATTCGATTTTTCAGAAATGGCGGAGGGAAATGGCGAACTACTAGATGACATTAATCAGAAAGCCGATGACCGTGGCGATGGCGAACGTACAGAGGATTATCCCAAGCTCTTGGAATACGGCTTAGATAAGAAGGTGTGTATGCCAGACCCTACATTTAACTACAGACTCACAACAATTACTAACTATTTCGATCGTTTATCGAATAGGTCGCTGGTAAGCTCGATGAAATCTACAAAACCGGTAAACTCGCTCACGCCGAGCTGGATGAGCGCGCCTTGGATGCGCTCAAGGAGTTTCCCGTCGATGGTGCCTTGAATGTGCTTAGTCAGTTCCTTGAATCAAACTTGGAACATGTGTCAAATAAGTCTGCCTATTTGTGCGGTGTGATGAAGACATACCGTCAAAAAAGCCGCGCCAGTCAACAGGGCGTGCCAGCGCCTGCCAGCACCATACAGGTGAAGGGGCCCGATGAGGATAAGATTAAAAAGATACTGGAACGCACCGGCTATACATTGGATGTGACCACAGGTACCACATCATGACCACATCAGTTTGTTACCAATCCACAAACTTGTGTTATTTCACAAGTATTCGTTTAAAAGTAAATAGCAATAGATGTTTTTGAGGTAGAATACTTTCTTATAGCTTTGAATTCAGTTGGTTTTAATTTAAATAATATTGCATTTTAAACAAATGTAATTGCAGACTTATCTGCCAGTCCAACCAAACCTTTACAACAATCAATTATTTTTATTTTGTTGGTTAATAACTAAAGTAGCTTATCAAATTTATAAAAATATCAGACAGAAGTATGACCAAAGAGATTGTTCAATCTAACCTCATCGTTTTGTGGTCTGTGTAGCCTCACCAACTTACCCTCATTTCCTTTTTATAGCCTGTACCCAAAGGGTGAAAGGCTATACTAGTTTTGTGCGCATGTATGTAACACACAGAAGGAGGTGTGGCAGACCCCACAAAGTATATATATTCTTGATCAGGATGAGAAGCCGAGTGGATATAGCCTTGTCCGTCCGTCCGTCTGTCCGTATGAACGCAAGGATCTCAGAAAGTATAAGAGCTAGAATAACCAAACTTGGTTTCCATATTCTCCTAAGACCGAGAAAGTACGAGTTTGAGTTTTTTTTCGATGCACCCCCCCCCCCCCCCCCCCCCCACTCCCCCGCAATTCGTGTTTTTTCTTATAACTTCCGTAATTCTCGGAATTTTGAAATCAAGTTAGTACTGTAATGTGTCCGTGTGCCAAATTTCATCATGATAGGTCAATTCCGAAGAAAGTTATAGCCATAAGTAAAATCGCTGCTTATGCGCTGCCTGCAGCTCTGTCGGCAGCGCTGCCCGCAGCTGTTGTTGTTGTTGCTGCTTTGGTTCAACTTTGTGCTGCATACATACACGCATATAAACACGCATAGGTACGTGATGTAAATGTATGCTGTTAAAACTGAACATAAACATGTATTCTATTTTAATTTAATTAATTAATTAATTAATTCATTTTTTTTAATAATTTAATTTTTTTTTTTTTTTAATTTTTCTTTTTTGTGAGAGTACAGGCTATTTTACTGTCGGGCTTGCTCGACTGTGGCGTTCTATCTTGTTTAATTTGTTGATCGTATATAATGCATCTCACTTATTGCTCGACAGGACAACGCAAATATGGCGGACCGCCACCCAACTGGGAGGGCAATGTGCCCGGCAATGGCTGCGAGGTGTTCTGTGGCAAAATACCCAAGGATATGTTCGAGGATGAGCTAATACCGCTCTTCGAGAACTGTGGCACAATTTGGGATCTGCGCCTTATGATGGACCCTATGACTGGCACAAATCGTGGTTATGCATTTGTCACATTCACAAATCGTGAAGCGGCCGTCAATGCTGTGCGACAGGTATTTATGCAACCGTCTTTTGATCAGTCCCCCTGCTCTCCCCCCTATCTCTCTGAACACACGATACACCTGCTCCGTACAAAGAACATACCATAATCTTACATAATTTAAACTGTTTTATATATGTACTATTTATACATCTATCAAAATTATTGTATAGTTATAACCAACCGGTATAACCAACAACAATTTATAAACGAAATAATCTAAATTCTGTTGCTGCGCTTGCGCCAAATTTTAAATAATCACAAAAAAAACAAATGAAAAAATCCATTTACAGTTTAGTCTTAAGCACAAAATTCTCGGCCTCAAAATTTGAACGATTGATTTGAGCCAGCAACCAGCTACAACAACAACAAGAACAACAACAATATGAACACCATCATCATAGAAACAACAACCAAATCCCCCGATTCGGCGCTTTTTAGAAAAAGAAAAAAACAAAAAGAGAAAGAACAACTTTTTATCTGTACTATATATTATACGTATATACTTAACTATAAATAGCACACTATTTTAATTCTTATCATTAATCGCTCTATGTTGCTCGATGCTCAGCCTAGTTGCGTTCCTTTGCCTCTACTAGCTAAGCTATTGCCATCTATATCTTCTTTCTCGTAACTCTTTATACGTGTATGCATGTCCACCATTTCGTCTTTCTAGTAGAACCTTTAAACATACTTCTCTTAGAATTTGATCTCTCACTCAACGAAACTCAAAATTTGCAGTTTGAAAAGAGTTCTCTCTGTAATTGGCCCTTCGATGTTCAAAAAAGAAAGAAAACAAAATTTGGCCTCCAAAACAATTCCATCACAATCCTCTAATTTCGAATTATGATTTCCCTGCAGGCCCTTTTTTATTTCAACTCTCTAATTACTTATACATCTATAGCTCTAAGTCGACTTGTAGCAATTTCTCAGCTCGTTTACAACTTGTAGCCTAAACATAAAAATCACCTTCAACTTCTATGTAGAATTCTATATGCAGCTTTATCATAGAGGTACGTTTCAATTGTCTGGTTTTATTGAAAAAAAAAATAAATGAAAAAAAAATTGCGAGCATGTCCACAAAACAGCCCCTAAATACTAACCAAATAATACTCCCTATATCTGTGTCAGACCCTGAAATGCACTCTTAACTTAATATGAAAGCTGATTGTATGACTGACTAACCCACCACCCTTTCCTCTAATATTTCAATATTCTCTACAAAATGTATAATGCGGCTACATGCGAAACAATTCAAAATTGGTAATGCAAAATTGAAGTAATTCTTTCTTATTATTATTTGTTTTTAACAACATCAAAATTAAAAAAAAAAAACATCCACCCAGACTTAGAAACCTAACCCTGGATCATCCTTCCTCCAGCCTCCCCCCCAAAAACTCAATTCAACGTTCAATTATGTTTCATTTTTGGTTGTTCAATCAAACTTGGTTTCGATTTATTTCATTATGATTTATTGTTTTTATTTATTTCATAGCAATTAACATATAATTGGTATTAAATTCATTTATCTTATATATGAATATTCACCTTCCCATCCACAATCTAGCTCGATAATCACGAAATAAAACCCGGCAAGTGTCTCAAAATAAATATAAGCGTACCGAATCTGCGCCTTTTCGTGGGCAATATACCCAAGTCTAAGGGCAAAGATGAGATTTTAGAGGAATTTGGTAAACTTACAGGTAAATTGAAACAAAATTAACAATCTATTTAAAATTATTCAACGAAAAATGAAAAGGCATGAAGTAAACATGATTGAATACTACGAGTATATCATTTCACTTCATGCAAAATCGGCCTTAAATTCTAAACAAAAATCCAATTGGCTTATGAAAATAAATTGGCTAATCTCAAGCTGATTAAGAATAGGCAGCAGTTCCGTAGATCTTTCTAGGGTCCTAGGCTTATTATATATACGAGTACATTTATGCAGTCTTGTGTTCTGACGTTTATTTATTGTTGCTTATTTTTGTGTTTATTATCATCACAACCACCGAACCACCACCACCACCAAACCACCAACATCCCCATGCCCATTCCATCATACAAGTATCGAAAAACGCTTTTATTGGTAAACAAAATAAACAAACAAAACTTGAGACTCTCTTTTCAAATGCACCGCCGTCGCCGATTCAGCCCCCCAAAACACAAAGGATATATACAAATATGTGTTTATTTATTTAATAAATTATAGTGCACGCACACCACGCACACATAGAACACACACACACCCATACATATAGTATATACGAGCACACCAATACACATTTATAAAGTCGCCATTGCCATTGTTATTGTCATCGCCACCTGCGACATTTTTACGCTTAATTAGCCATATTTCTTATTTTGTCAAACTCTAATATACTTATTTAATGATATCTCCAGTCATTAACTTTGCGTACAAACCAAAAATATTTAAAATTATTACAAAATTTATGCATTCCAACGTTGATGATTATATTTTCTAACTATTTTTGATTAAAAGAAAGCCAACACGTATGTATTTAAATATATATTTTAACACAAGTAGGCTAAAGAACAAGTTAACAAAAACACTAGGCAATCCTTTTTTACGACTTTTCATTTACCGTTAAATGCCAGGCATACAAAAAGTAACGTCTCATTCACATAGCCCGTTTAATCGGACCGGTATGTACAACATATTGTGCATACTGTTTGTGCAAGCCGCGTAACAATCAGAGCGTATTAAGTGCTATAAAGTCATTTGAATTTGAAACTATCTCTAACATGCATTAAAATTCCCGAAACTAACATTTTTTCAAAGTTCAGCATCTCATCTGATCGTAACGCGTTGGGTAAGGAGTGCGGTTTCATCTTTAAGTGGCTTTATAGATATAGATCGTACACATAATTACCATCGTCGACAAAGTTTATATGTAAATAACTTCGTGGGAAACTCAATATAAAAGTGTGCAATATCCTGTATCCTTGAAATCAGATGTCTGGGCCTAGAATGGTGGGAGGAGGGGTAAATGAATCCTCTACTAAGTCCGATAATTGCTTGAAGAAGTTATTATGGAATATCATATATGTGTGCATATTAGATAAAATCAAATAAACCCTAGTCCAAAACTAGCATCAAGTAATCAGAATATGATGTAATTTCTTGTTGGTCTGCAAAGAAACTGCAAAATTAAGACGACCTTAAAGGGAACAGGCACTCAATACTCAATACAAGCCTTAAAATCTAGGTCAAACAGTTGTTCGTCAAGAAATGCCAACCAATAGAGTCCATACAATATCATTCGTCATCAACTGGGGTACAGGGTATTCCATTGTCGGCTGCGCTCGACTGTTCCGTTCTTACTAGTTTCTTTTAAAACTATATTGCATTTTAACTAAAATTATATAGTTTTCATTCATGTATTTTTTTGGTAGAGAAACGAATTTGAGCAGAAAAAAACATTCTAAAACTCACGCAGCATACCGAAATAATAGCTCAAATATTTAATAAATTCATTATTATATTTATCACCCATACAACGAAATCGTATCAATCGAATTAAGAACCAAATTAACAAGTAATAAGTCTAGTATATATACAAATTTTGATTATACCCACAACCCATCTACAAAACCACACAACAAAAACTACACAAACAATCAACCAACCAACCAACAACCACACCCACATAACCAAATCGCAGTACCAATGGAAACAAATTTTTCATAGCAAATCAAAATTTTTTGTTTTGTGTGAACTTTTAAACAATTGCAGCTAAATGATTTTGAAATTCGGAAAGGCAAAAAGATTGGTGTTACGATATCATTTAACAATCACCGGCTATTTGTCGGCAATATACCTAAGAATAGAGATCGCGACGAATTAATTGAGGAATTTTCTAAACATGCACGTAAGTGATCAAAAAACAAACAACAAAAAAACGCAAAAAAAAAACAAACAACAACAAAACCAAAAACTATTTCAAAATCATAAAAACGTAACGAGCTATAATCCCAAGAACCTAAAGATACTGATACTGAAGCACCATCCCACCAACCAACCCATTGGTTATCGAATTGGTAATATAAAAATAAGAGGCGATATTTGCAGAATATAGTATTGAAAACTATAAAAAAAAAGAAAACAGTGAAAGCACACTATCAATTGGATTTTTGTTTTGCAATTTTCGCTTTAAAAATGCTTTCAAATTTCCAAAAACTTAATCATCGAGAAGCAAAAGAGAAATGCAATGCGACCGGAAAAACTTCAAGTGTTTAGATAACATTGCACGTTTTTAGATGGCAGTTGAAGTTTTATTATCGGACATATTTGAAATATCCGCTTTGCTCTTTCTTCTCCCTCTCTTTTTTTTCAAACACACTTACACACAGACATGATCTCTTAACTTTTCTGCGCGCTGTTAGCCAAATACAACAAAAAATTAATTGTTACATTAAAAAAAATTATTATTTGAAAATCATTTCCTTATAACAGGCGACGATAATGTCGTACCCCATTTGTTGACATTGAAAACCTGTAGCTGAACAATTCGCAAATTAAAAATATTAAAGAGAACATTTTGAATATTTTTGAAACAAAAAACAAAACAAGATGCAGCGCTATATGTTGTGTGTGGGCGATAAAATATAGTCGGTTTGTTTTTAATATTTTGCAACATTTTGTTCATTTTTTCCTTAGTATATACATATAACTACATACATATATAGACAGAATAAGATCGCGCACACAAACCAACCAACCACTAAAAACCCTGGCCCCAAACATTTTGTTGTTAGTTTTTATACGTATAGTGGAAACAAAAACGAAAAAAAAACTGTTCCGGCCGATCATGAGAACCTTGATTACAACTATTAACTTGTATGGTAATGACTGGAGAAACTACTTTCTGTAAACGTGTGTAATAATACCCAATCAAAAGAAATATATTTATATATATATATATATATATATATATATATATATATATATATATATATATATATATATATATATATATATATATATGTATATATATATATATATAACTCATTACTCTCTCACATAAGCGCCCCACAATTTGATTTGAAAACAAAACAAAACGAATCGTATCCAATTGGATCCTTAAATCGAAAGTACAAGCGTAAAGTCAAATTCAAAATCTTAATCAGTTTTAATGTCCACCCGCCACTACTTGTTTTCGTTGACGTTTCTTTTACTAAATGTACACACATTCGAATTACAATTTAAAGATAAAAGAGGAAAACAATTTCGAAATAATATAATCTCAAAACTACTCATTTGAATGAAAAAAAAACGAACAATATCCCACTATTTCTCGCTCTCTAACTCGCTCTAACCACTCTATCCTATCTCTTTGTCTGTAATTCTTCTTCTCTACCTCGGTGTACTCTCTCTTCTATGCCGTTAATTCTTTTCGTTATATCCAAATCTCAATGCTCAATGTGTGCGCTAATTCTCATAAATCGTACAACAGAAATAACTGAATTTTACAAATGAATTTTCGCAATTTGTATAAACAACAAAAACAACTACAAAAATTCAGTTTTTAATGTTTCTAAGTGTTTTTTTATTTTACAATACTCTCTATACTTGTATTTACTTATTGTTATACCCGCTCTCTATTTTTCTCTCCAAAAAAAAAAAAGAATCGAAGACAATTTTAGCCTAGCGCATATATTTACATACTATATATGATGTATATTCAAAAATATTTGAAAAGTTTAACAAAAGCAGCAATTGTTGGCATTGGTTTTCAAAATCACATTATTCACTGAAGCGAAATAAAAAACAAAATTAAATGAGAACCACTAATTGACAGGAATATGCATTATTTTACATAACAATGCACAGCCGCTGCTGCCGCCTCCGCCTGTCATGTAAAATTTTGTACATTTCTGTTAAGACGACACTGTTAACACATAAGTCTGTTAAGTCTAAAATGTTGACTGTTGAGATAGCGGTTAATGTTATTGCCGCCGCTAAGTGTGCTTTACAACACCTACACACTCTCGCTCTCTCACACACACATACTTAAGATTACAACTACAAATACTTTTTTGTTGTATTTATCGAAGGACAATTATCTCATCTAAAATACTAATCATAATTGATTGCAATTGCATTTTTTTACTAATTTACTTTTACCATTGAACGCATACACAATTCTGTACTCATATGGTAATTTTCTTTGCAATCAAACAAAAAAAAACATTCAAAATCCTATATAGCTGGCCTTTTCGAGGTAATCATCTACAGTTCACCAGATGATAAGAAAAAGAATCGCGGCTTCTGCTTTCTCGAATACGAGTCCCACAAAGCGGCTTCTTTGGCTAAACGAAGACTTGGCACTGGTAGAATTAAGGTAAGTCTGCACCCCTACTTCCAAATGTCCAACCATTTATTATACGTTCCACGATACTTTTTGTTATGCATAGGTATGGGGATGTGATATAATAGTCGACTGGGCCGATCCACAGGAGGAGCCGGATGAACAAACTATGTCGAAAGTTAAAGTGCTTTACGTACGAAATCTGACTCAAGATGTCTCCGAAGAGAAACTGAAGGTAAGTACAGATCCAGATCATAAGCGATGTATATCTCAGGAAGCTCTTATTCACACCTATTTTCCTGACACAACACACCTCTAACCAACAGGAGCAATTTGAGCAGTACGGCAAGGTGGAGCGCGTTAAGAAAATTAAAGACTATGCCTTTATACATTTCGAGGATCGTGATAGCGCCGTCGAAGCTATGCGTGGCCTTAATGGTAAGGAGATTGGCGCCTCGAATATTGAGGTAAGTAACTAATGAAATGTTAAACAATTTCAATAGAGAACGTATAATATAATGACAATTAAACTAAATCCAAAATGTGCAATTAATTTTTATCATCTATTCGCATTTCAAACATCAGTGAAGGTTGATCTTAAAGGAGATCTATCTATAGATTATCTGAAGCAAATTAATCATTTAACTGATTTCTTTGGCCCTTTTAGGTCTCACTCGCCAAACCGCCCTCGGACAAAAAGAAAAAGGAAGAAATTCTGCGTGCCCGTGAACGCCGCATGATGCAAATGATGCAAACACGTCCTGGTCTTGTTGGGTAAGTATTCAAAATGGCCCAGAAACACTCCTCAATATAAACACCTTCCATTCTTGTCTAGCACAACAACAATAAATCGAACAACAATCATTAAAATTGGCGCAAAATTCAAAAACAATACAAAAACGAAAACTTAAGCAATCCATTCAGTTTGCATCCATTGGCCAAATTATTCGGCATTGTTGAATCAAAGTTTTGAGAGAGACAGAAAAGAGAGAGTTCGTTTTGAACGTCTGTTTGCTTTTCAAGCCGCCTTTAATCCAAAGACAGTTAATTAATTAATTTTTTATTTATATTTCTTTCTTTTTTTAACGCATCTTGCCGCCGTCACACTTTTTTGTTTGTGTGCGCTCTGGGTGTCTTTGACTTTTTCTTTGTTGCTTCATTGAATGAATCCCCAACCACAAACGCCCACAAAAAACACACACAAACATCACCAAACAAAAAACCGAAACAAAACTAAACACAACCGAATCAATTGAACCACCGACCAATTATCCAATCTCTGCCACTTTAACTGCAACCGTCTTGTAAAAGATTTGAAACATTGTCTCCATACAGAAACCTGTCGCCGACACACCCCAGCATGATGTCCATAGCAACGCCCATGCGCCTGCCCGGGGCGCGTATGCCGCTGCGCACGCCGATGCCTCGCGAATACGGTAAGTTCGGCAAATACGCCAAGTGATAATCAATGAGATACAACTACCAGATACTTCTACATACGTACTTACATACGAGTATATAAGTATGTGTAACACTTTTTGCTAAAGAAGATGCGAAAGCGAAAACGGAAAGCAAAACAAGAGCAGCAACAGCAGCGCAGCATCAGCAGCAGTAGCTAAGATATATCGCATCGAATGCGCATATCAGAGTTGTTAGTTGTTAGTTAGCAGCAGCTATACGTACTTGTATATGGTATATACTATATACACGTAGTATGTAAGTAGAGCCGGTAGAGTCAGGTATATATAGTTAGGCACACAAACATCACTAACCATAACAGAGCTATTAGTTACTTGCTATAGATATAAATATATTATTTCAGCATTTTAGGTTTGTGTTTTAGTTGATTTTGTGAAACATTCTAACACCTGAATGTTGTATTAATATTGATATGGAATGATGCTCCAGAAGCATACTAATTGTATTTCTAACCAAGCTATGCTGCAGCAGCAAACTATTGTTAAAACTAACTCTTAATTCTCTTAATTTGTGCAGTCGATAATCACCACCTGTATAACAACCACCAACCCCCTTCTAAGCGCTATAACTTTTAACACAAATTAATCCGGTCTCTAGCTTACGTCTTAAGTTTACTTCTCATCCAGCGCATAGAGACAAGTTTGTTGTTTATAATTCATTGTTTGTTTAAAACATACTATATTTTAATTAGTTGTTGTTTTTAAAGGTTTAGCAGTGCGCTGTCTAACATTTTCTTCAATACGTACGCTCCTTTCTAACACACACACACACACCCCTACACGCGACACCGCAACCCCACCACCCCATCACCACGCTTAGCAAACTAACGTCCATTTGAAACCCCAATTAACCAACAGTCTATTGTGAAAAAAAAGAATAAATAAAAATCCAGCTAGATAATAGATTGGTAATATGAACTAATCAATCAATTGAAGCATTGGCCCATCAATTTGTGAACCTGAGCATAACCTAACATTTCTTACACATAACCACACTCTTTTTATATCACTTTCATTCTGTTTTGGTAAATGTAATTGTCGTTTGTTTCCTTACTTATACTCATACATAGTTAGTTGTTCAGTGTCTATGCTCTCTCTAATAATAATTAATTTGATTATTCAGTTTCATTTGCATGCTTCTTTTGTATATTCTTCGAGTATATTCTTTTCCTTTTCAATGTTGATGTTGTCATTTGTTTTGTGCAACTCGCAGCCGTGCATCTTCGGCTCGCTCTCTGTGCCGGTCGCGCCCCCCCCCCCCCCCCCCCCCCCCCCCCCTTTGCTAAGGGAACTCGAACTCTCTTTATGTCGCTAATTGCAAGAAACCGTTTACGCAGCCAACTATGTACATCACTTCTACTTAGACTTTAATCAAATACCTTAAGCGTTGTTCTGTTCATAGCAGTCTATCATAATTAAATGTTGCAATTGTGTTCTCTGTGTAGCGAATGTTAAGCACCCTGTATACTGTTTGATGTTATATCACCGGTAAGTAATCAAGTCAAATCGTACTTAAGCCTATCCACCCACTCAAACAACCTCCCAACTCAACTGCTGTGTTACAATTCGAGCTAATTGGCAACAAAAATCAAATGCAATTGGCGCTTCTCCGAGATGAGAATAAACGACGGCGATTCTACGCGTGTTAGGTTCGTTCCTAAGAAGGACCCTCTCTAGATTATTTGCACAAACGGCACACAACACACACAGACATACACACACACACACCCTCCCACCCACACATATACGCCTTGTTATTTAACATTTGACCAAAGCTAATATTATCCAGCATCCTAAAATCCCCATCCTGTGCAAATCTCTAGAATACGATTACGACTATTTCGGTTTCTCGGACTATCGTGCCGGCTATGGCAATGAGCAGTATTATGATGACGTTTATCGCGCCTACGATGGCGGCTACGAGGGCTATTATGAATTTCCGAACGGTGCTGGTGCCGCAGGAGGCGGCGGTGGCGCTGGCGCTGGTGCCAGCGGCGCCGTGTCCGGCGGCAGTGTCTCATTGACCACTCCGCAGCGTCCATCAAGACCCCAAGCAAATGGCCCGGCAGTCAATTCTCCGGTCGTTATGGTGCGTTCAGAGAAAAAAACCCTATTGATTGATTGACTTGCTGTCATGCGTAATTGAAAGAAAATATATTATTTTTCTCAAACATACACGCACACAGAACAACACACAAGATTGTAGTTTTGAATCTATTTTTTTTCTTTTGTTGTTTAACACTTGTTTTATTAGTAGTAGTTTGATTTGCAGCTGCGATCATAATTTGATATTATTTGTGTAAACCAACAGTACAATCGAGTGAAGGAGAGAAAGAGAGAGAGGAAAAATGTTACGTGTAGAATGAATGTCCTTTTAAAAAAGCACTTAACACCTTAACACCGTTGGAGATAATTGTGGCTTTAAAGTCCTTCCTCTCTCTTCAAAACCACTCAATTCATCAACTGTGCCCAAAATTGTAGTATTTTTTTATTTAGTTAATATTTTGACTTTAATTTTAAAAATGCTTTTTTAATTTCGAACCCCCTTCCAAAATTTAAAACGAAATTTTTGTATATTTATATTTTTTATTTCGCTCACGGCGCCAACTCGAATCAAAATTTGCACGGTACTTGCGAACCCACAACGATACCACGCCCACCACCACCACCACCACAACTCGCAACTCACTCACACACACAGTAACCGCTTCACACATACACGCACGCACGCTTATTTTTTGGCAAGCCTTCCAAAAAAGGATATTTGATTTATGTAACGCTTTGCTTCCATGGAAACTAACCAAAACCAATCAACAAACTTACAACAACAACAACTTTTCTGTTTTCATATGCAATTTTAATTTAAGTTTTGTGTATCGCTTTTTATTTGAATTTCGCTTTTAATTAATTGATAACTTTTAATATTAATGGTGCTTTTTGTTGCTTATTCATTTATATGTGAATCAACTAATTTAGGCTTACTTAATTAAAATATGCATTGTTTATTGTTTATTTTGAGCTGAATACTGTGTGCTCGTATTAGTTGCTAACAAAATCGTGAAACGGCAACAAATGTTTTTAGTTTTAAGTGCAAACTTGTGAGAAATTGAAGCTTTTCCTTTTTTATAGCATACTTTTTTGCGCTAAACCAAATACGACTTTTTTAAACTTAACACTGCCCACGCTTTTTTAATCAAAGGAAACACAAACACACCAACACTAACAATCATTGAGTTGCGCTTCTTAAAGTACGCTTATTAACATTATTATCACAATTAACATACTTATTACATACATATATTTTTTAAGAGAAGGAAAGTTTTTACACTGTGCCAATCGCAAGCAAACAAGTTCGCATATGCATTAAGCTTGTCCAGGCCAGGCCCGTCGGCGGCAAGCTCAATCCATGTGCCGATACGATATACATATACGATATGTTGTGAGCTACAAAAGTAACTGTTATATAAGTATATTATACGATATTACTCCAGCAGCAAGCTAGAAAAGCAGAGCATTGCAACAGTCTCGAGCTGTGCGCACACACTTGTTTCAAATTCAACCAATCAAACACAACACATATAGAGACAATTTTAATTAGCAACAACTACTCCTTCAACATGAGCCGTAATTTCTATATACTATTTTATATCTTATATATATTATGTATTGTATGTAAACAAAACAAAACAGAAACAAAACAAGTTTTACAAACAACAACAAATTTATTTAAACACAAAGAATCTAACGCGTTTATTTCGATTTTTTCTTTTCTTTCTTTTCTTTTTATGTGTTCTTGTTGTATTATATACAAAATAATTCATTTGTTTTTCGGTAAAACATGAAAATCTTATAAAAAATTATATATATGTTCGTCAAAACAAAAACCAAAACGAAACCCCAAATTATAAATTACAATTCGTATGTCTGCAATCCACCTGTAAACCAAACCATTCAAAACGAAAACAAAATTTTTAAAAACCACACACACGACCAAACAACGAAAATCGACATTTCTTTGCGATGTCGTTGCTGTTGCACAAAAAACCAAACAAAATTTCAAACCAAAAACCTGCTATTGAAATTTACCCACAATTTTTCGCTTACCAAATTTCCAAATCAATTCAAAATTAAAATCCATCAACTTTTGCAACTCGATTCAAAATTCCAAATCCAATTTCCGTAAATTGAATTTTCTTTCCTAATTTTAATTTGATTTATATGACAAAATTTGACAATTATCTTGGCGATCCATATATATACCACACGATTTACATTATCTCTCAAAATATGATACAAAAAATTCAACCCAAAAAAATTGTAAAAATGCAAAATCGAAAACCAAAAACGAAATCCAAATAACTCAACAATGCAAAATGAACGCCGCACCCCCATGGAAATAATTACTGGATCTGCCAACAAATGGAAATAAACTGGATGTAAAATCTATAACAATGGCGCCCAAAATCACACACACATTCATATTATACACACACACTCACACACGAACACATTCACATCAACAACACACAAATGCATGCATGCAATGATTCGATGATGTTGATGATGATAATGATGGTGATGATGATGATGATGATGTCGCTGATGAATGATGATCTGATCTTGATGTTGATGATGATGTTGATGTTGATTATAATGGAAACGATCACTCATTAGGGGGGTGGTCGTGGACATGGAATCACAGTCCCGCGTGGCCGAGTCGTTGGCCAGCGTGGCAGCATCAGTCGTCTGGGGGCCCAACCAGCGCCACAGGCGGCAGCGGAGGTGGCGGGACAAGCGGCGGCGGCGGCGGCGGCGGTAGCTCAACGGGGGGCCATCGTTCAGGGGGCACCAGCAGCAACCGGGGGGGTCCGTGGGGTGGGACAAATGCGTCCCAGCGCTCGTGGCACCCAGCACGTCAAGCCGCTACAAAATTTACCAGGTGAGCACATGTTAAAAAAAAAACCAACAACAACCACCAAATCAAACCAAACAAAATCCCCCAAGCAACAAAACGTCAAAAATAATGAAAAAAAAACTGCAACAACAGGCAGCCAGAACAAAAAAAAAAGACTGCATAACAAGTATATAACTCTCATATAAATAAATAATAAGTGAAGCCAAGTAAAAACATTCTCACATGCATATATCGCATATATATACACACGTACCATCCACCACCACCACCACCACAACGCACTCACACCGACAACAACAACAACCACTACTACTACAACATGAACTGCAGCAACGAGCAACTAACTAAATAAGTACAAATATATATAAAGGAATACATACAGGGTATGCCACAAAAACTGGCAATCAACGCTGGGTGGGTTATATATACAGCTACTATATATATATGCATATAGTATATATGTATATACATATTATATATATATATATATATTAAAATGTCATGTCGTGTGTCTCGCATCCCTAACTGTTTAAATGTTGTAACTTTTCGCAATTGAATTTATTTTTCATTTCCCACACAATATACGCCAATACGATGTGCCTTTTATAAAATTTAAAAAACCATTTTCTTTGCATATTCATTTTGCGCAAGTTTTGTTTGTTTTAAGCAAAATTTTATATATATTTATGCAAACTTTTTCTCATATATTTTACACCATCGTTGTAGAATTAACTCTTACTGCTTCCAATTGTGGTCTAAGTTCTTTTTTTTATAAACATACTCGTTTATTTTGTTATTTTCTGCCGACGCTCAAATGTATGCTACAGTTTTTGCATGCTCTTTATAATGGCCGTGACTCAATGTTTCCAATTTTATCTCAAACTCTATACGAAACTCTCGCGACGACCATGAAACAAAAGCAGTAAGCAGTGCATACACACACCCAAACACCACACACAAACAGACGGAAACGGAAATTGTAATTGAAATTGAAATTGGAAAACAAAAAGAAATGTTAACACTGAACCAACCCACCCACCACAACACCTACCTGACATCTATGTATATGGAAAGCCACTATAACAAATTATATATACAGTTGCAAAATCAAATCTGTTTTGTATGTCTGCTGTGTAAACGTTTATGAATCGATTAGTATTTTAGCACAACAAACTAATTGTCATACTTAGATCCTCCAAAAAACCCACACAACAACACAAGATTGTATTTTACTTTTAAATCTAAGAAATAGCGTCATAGAGAGAGCTTTACAGAGCCAGAGAAAGAGAGAGAGAGTGCCGTCGCACGAGGCGCCAGAAATGTCTATTATTTGTTGTTATATGTATACACACACATACACACACACACACACACGTAAATATTTTTCTAATATTTAAGCCTTTTCCACATTAAATCAAAATCTCCCCGCATAGCAGCGCAAAGCCCTTGAAAATGTGAAAAAAAAAACAAAAGTTCATACAATTATATCCAAAATTTTGACGTACGTGTATATAATTTTTTAAAGATTGTTTTGCCTCTCCTAGCCATCAATCAAGAAACCGTTCTTAACGCGCACTTTTCGTACAATTTTTTGGTACCTTATCGTTATAATCGTAATCTACCAATTCCCATATAATATACTTATGCTATAGAAATAAAACGAACTGCGATTGCACAACAAAAACGAGCGATGTAAAAATGAACAACGAACATTTTTGCTTTCGTTGAGACTTTTTATATAAAACATAGCCAATTTTTTACAACTATATATACATACATATTTAATTTTCTGTGTGCATTCATTTATGTTTTTCAATTAAAATTAATTTTTGTTGTACTTATATATGACAAAGCGAAATCTTTTACCATGCTTTCCTAACCACAAAAACAAATGAGCAAACAAAATCGTTAGTTTTACGATTTTTTATACATACACATATATATATATATATATATATATATATATATATATATATATATAGATATATATATATATATATATATATATAGATATATATATATATATATATATATATATATATATATATATATATATATATATATATATATATATATAAATATAATCCAATAGTTTGTACTAGTGACTGTTTTCCAAAGAGTATAACAATTTTTTATACTACTATATACAACATGCATACTTACATCTGTATATGTGTTTTTGGTTTCCTATATATTATTGTAATACACAAACCAATTTTATGTAAATATATATGCGCAGGGTATTTAAAAAAACACCTGCCAATAAAAACGTTTGACATATCCATATATAGTATACCTACTTAATACAAATACTAATCGATTCGTTTATTATGTTTACTACACTCGCACACACGCACATACACTGAAGATACAACTACCAAATGCGATATAATTTGTTATCGAATGAGTTTTTGAAAGTACTTTCTGCAGAGTAGTGTTGTCGTAAAAGTACAAAAGTGCTTAAGACCTTTGTGGGGCAGACATTAGCTGCAAAAAACCACCAATCACTTACATTCTCAACTAAATTTTGTCTACTTAAAAGTTCTTAAAATGAAACCCACAGCTTCATAGCTTCAATAACTCTTCGTCTTCCCACAAAATTCCCTAACATGTTTCCACACTTCTGAATGTTGTGTATCTAACAACTTACATACGCAATTATTTTATTACATCACTTCGACTACTTACGTTTATGCCAGCAAACTCACGTTATTTCCGATTTAATACTCATGTTTTTTACCAGCCTTTATTTATAGAATTTAATAATTATTCTAGCAATGTACATTTATTCATAAATTCCTTGCAAAACGTGCATTTCTTATCGTATTACTCAAGGATTTGCCTTTAAGAATGGGCTTAAGTTTTTCAGCTGCTGAACTAAAAGTCTGGCAACGCTATGCCAAATAAAGTCAAGTACAGAATGAAGTCAGCTATAATCGCAGTCAACTTTCAATATAAATGAGGAAATCATTTCTCGATTTCATAGCATGGCATAAATGTAGTTTCAATCTTTTTCTGTAGGTTTAACTTTCCCTACCATCGCTAAAAAAAAAAAAATGAAGTAATATTTAATGAAAACAAATTCCCAATTTTATTTTCACAACCACATAACAACAATTGTTTATCGCGAAATCTTAGCTTCGGCCAAGAAGCTCCGAAGATTACATGCCCTTGCAATACATCCCCTTCTAACAGAATTACTATATCAGAAAAGAAGTGTCCTCTTTTATGTCCGAGTAGTCAAAAACGGCCAATAAAAGAAAGAACAAAAGATCTTTAGATTCAACCGACATGGTCGGAATCGCGATACCTAACGGCTTTGACAAGATCTAAGCGGCATATAGCAGAAGAACTTCTGTGAAGACTAAAAAAGTAAGCATTTAACAGGAATTCTTTCAGGACTTGGCTCCTCTTAACGTCCATCATAGACTGAAAGAGCACAAACTAGAAGGAAGTAGAGGAATAATCTGTACGATCGACTGATTATAGAATAACTCAATGACACTAGTTAGTAGAACATACATTGGAGAAAATACAATACATGAGGAAGGATTATTTATTTTGAAGTGAAACACTTTTGAATTGCAAGAGAATTTAACAATGTAAAAAAATAGTGGTTTATACACGCTTTTTTCTGCCTATATTGCGCTGATTGTAGAGTTTTTTTTGCCAATGCGCACTACTCCTTATTCTATTTATTTGTGATTAGTGAATCGCCTCAGAAATACGAGTATCTTTTTCATTATTTCTGACCCTCACACGCTTCCATAACACTATCCATCACACACACACACACAATCACACACCTCATTACAAACTGTGCTGCTTTTGCAAAAATTTGAAGAAAAAAGAAAGCAAAAAACCAAAACCTAAATCTGTTTCTAGCTGGATCTGCGCTCAAGACATACATGGAGGGTAACTAAGCGTAGTGCGTCCCCGAGCTCGTCGCATAGCGAGGACACTCGTCCGCCAACCAAAAAACGCAAGTCTAAACACAGCTCCTCAGGCCACAAGAAAAAATCACACAAGTCCAAGAAACAAGCACGCAAATCTAAATCGTCTCGATCTAAAAAGCGATCGAAAAGGAGCTCCAGTTAAAGAAAAAATGATTCAAGCAAGCAAAATTGAAACACAACTAAACACAGGGACCACACAAAAGACAAAAACTACTCGTTGCAAAATCTAGTTTCCAGTTTCAAAGAAGTATATGATGAATAATATATCATCATCTATATATATATTTGTTTTTGGTACATTTTCGTCAATTGTTGTTCACACGCACACACTAAAGTGTCAATGTTTTGTTTCGCAACGAACAAAAGAATTTTGGCTTTTTAACACACACACACATACACACACCCACCCACCACACATGCACAATTCTCCATAATTCAGATCAGATCAGATCAGTTCAAAAAACCGTTCAGGAATCCAAACACAAATTATAACTGTTTCGCAAATTACCGAAATGGAAGACGAACCCCAAACCAAACCCCGAAATTCTCAAGAACCAAGTACAGCGCCCCACCACCACACAAATCCAAGGCTCACTGAACATACCAAACATGCCGATCCAAAATCGCTCGCTGTTGTTACCAACGCTCTACGCATCCTATTCTAGTTTCTACTCTATAACCGTACTCCCAGTACTACTCCTAGTTACATGTTTCGTGTTGTTAGGCGATAATGTCATGTACAATGTTTTATCTATTCATTCGCGCATACGTCAGACGTTTCTCTTTTCGAAATTTGTGTATCCACGCACTTTTCCACATGTAAACGTTTCACACACACACACACACACGCACACCCTCCCAAACCACACCCACACACACTTTGTTGTAATGTGTAATAGTCTATTACAACGACGCCCCCAGGTCCCTGATGTTATGCTGAAACTTTACTTTTGATGTGTAATAATTATAATAATAAAATTATATATTTAAAAAGAAAGAATTCACAGCTTCGTGTGTGTTTCTCTGAAGCTAAACAAATCTGAACAGCAAGACGAACAACTTGTTAGATTAATCAGGTCTGTTCCATGCACCGGCCATTGCATTCTTCTTATAAGAGCTGTTTCCGTTTCCTATTTCGATAACTTAATGGCTATAGATATGCAATGGAGATCAAATTACTATAAAAACTCAAAAACTTGGCCCAACATTACATACGAGTATTAGAGCTGTGTCGGCTTACTGCGAATGAAATTCCATAGCTCTGTATGTGAGACTTCTTCGACTCAAATCTGAGAATTGTTTTCGCACAAAACATTCCATTTGATACTTTTTGTTCCATTTTGCGATTCCATTCTAAAACATTTGTAGAAGAAAAGTATTGCACTTTGATTTTTAGATCTATTGGGGAGACATTTTGACTTATCCGTTACCATCTTACAATTTTTGCACAAAACATACATATTTTTAACAAAATTTAAATACATTTTTTTAAAGCTTATTTGGGGAAATTATTAGAGATTTGGATGCATTGTCTTTAGCTGCCTTTTTTTATTCATTTATAGAAATAGGTCTTTTTAAACTACGTAGCAAGTGACCCCCAGGAAGTATGCTCCTCATAATTTGGACTATGCACATTTCTTGCTTAACGAAAGGTGCTCGTGATTTCAATTCACTATTTTATTGTGCAATTTGATTATAGTTTGTAATATAAATTAGAAAACACTGAATATGGTGCGGTGATGAAAACAGTTCCTGTCGGAGTTATGGAAAGTATTTTTTCAATTTGGTTTATCCTTGTCGTGTCCCTGAATAGCCGAGAGTGAAATGAGACACGTGAAAACAAAAATGGAAACAGACCTGATATGCAGAATTTGTTGAAAATTCTTTAGTCCCCGAGAAGGTTTCATATTATACGATCAAATAAAATCAATTACCGAACATAACCGAAATATAAAAACGAATGTTGACAAAAATCGAAGTATCCAAAAGTTTCAACCAATAGCCCAACAGCCCAGCAAAACGCAGCACTACATTTGAATTTGAAACGAAAAACCAACCAAAAATAATATCAGCAATTTCTCTGCCAATCCAATATTTGTATTAACAATATTTTTAACTCTCTTTTTCTTCTTTTTCTCTTTGACAAAAATGCTCAAACACCATAAACACACACACACACCCAAACAAACACACGCTAAAATCCAATCATCCAAACAACCCAACAACCAACCATCCAACCCGAAAACATCGAAATTACAACCGCAGTAGTCGGTAAACGTAAGTTCGATGGAGGTCACCAAAATCCGGCAGATGTTAAGCGACGTTACCCGAGCGGTTTAATAGGAAATGGCGGCAGTTGGGGCAGTTTACCGCTACCACAGCAACCGTTAGGCACAAATGGCGAACAGTGGTATATGGATACGTTCTCGACATGGAGTTAAGATAACAATCACGGCAACAACAACAACAATAAGCATCAAAACAACACTTGGAAGTAACCAACCAACCAACCAAACAACAACAACAATTTCCACACAGCCTGTGCGTCATAGCAGCGCAAATTAAACTAAAACTTCAAAAGCAATAAATTCTATATATAGTATACCTATACCTACCTATATATAAATCCAAATTCTAAAGGTACACAGAGTTAGCAAATGAATTAAATCTGAAAACGCGTACATATTCGGAAATATTTTATTACATTTCCTTCCGTTGAAGCGCATTCTTTGTTTAACGTTTTAACGCTATGAACGCCCAACAACAACAGCAACAACAAGAAAGAGTCAAGTATATATATATATAAAATAACGAATATATGTAATCACTATATAGGCTTGCAGCAGAATTTTAAACCTTTCTCCCTCAGTTACAAAACAAACAAACAAAAAAGAATACAAAATTACTAAACGTATGAATAGAAAGAAAAACATCAATTAGCATATTTTCCACAACTTTTAAAAGCAGAGCCACAAATTAGAGAAGAGAGAGCCTAAAACATTTTTTTAAAACTATAAAAATAGAGTGTTTTTAACTTGCTATCGAAACAATAACGAGCACATTTATATAAAACAAATCATATATATATATATATATATATATATATATATATATATATTAACTAATTACTAGAGAGACGTAAAGAAACAAAATTGATTTTAATATTTAAGCAGCCTGTGTAGCACACTTTTTATACATTAATGACGAAACTAACTAAATTCGATTCAAGTGTAGCGTCTACTTATATGCGAGAGGAAAAGTTTTACATTTTATATAGATATCGAGGCAAACAAATCCAACTTCAAATTTGAATTCAAAGCACTCACACAACAACAACAAATTGCAACCTAAAAACACATGAAATCCGAGGCAAATGAATTCCCTTTCGATTGTAAATAGTAAGAGTTAAAAACTGCTGAAGCTGTAAGCAAAGGTCTATACTATATAGTATAGTATATATGAACCCATAATACAAGCGACAAAGTAAAGCTCCAATGAATTGATAAATTAATTAGTAGGAATTACTAAAAATTAAAACAAAATAAATAAAACAACAATTTAAATTCAAAAGCAAAGCTTAATGAAGAAACATTGACTGAAATTACAAAAACAAAACAAACAAAAAATTAAATTGAATATTACAAAAAAAAAAAAAAAAAATTATAAACTATGTATTGGAACGATTAATTAACGCACGCAGCATTATTATATAATGTCTAGCGGCGGCTCGGCAAGACTTTCTGCATAAATTGAGAACTATTTTTAAACATAAGTTTAGTAACAACAACAACAAAAACAAAGTATAAATCTAGGGCTAAGCAAAACTTGCACACACAACAAACAAACAAACAAACATATATGCGTTTATATATGTAAATACTACTATATACAATGCAGCCACAATTGAAGAGCAGAATCGGTCGACAAAATTCAGAGAACTCTTTCCCAAAAATCTTCTTCAATTGGCAAGTGCTGCCCTAAAAGCAACGAATTAGAAAGACACACACAAACACATCACAAGCAGTAAGGTAACAATTGAAAAACGAAACAAAAAATAAATTTAAAGTATATATGCTAAATTTTACAAATAAAAACCAACTAATGATAATAATAATAATAATAGAAATAATAGAGACCCGCAAAAGTAAATAATAATCAGCGAATGCCTACTTTTTAAAAACTACCTATACACTCTAATAACATGTTTGAAGCCTAATTAGCCAAGGCCGTAGCAGCAAAAGTTTATAACAATTATTTAAAACAAACGTTCTTTTTTGTAAATCAAATGCAAGCCAAGATGTTTACTTTCCAGTGCTTATATGAGAACCATTTTACTTTATCAACTAACTACTATACAATATAGTCATTATAAAACTTAACTCCATGCCTATATACTCAACAACAGCAGCAAAAACAACAACAGTAACTATAATAATAATAATAACTACTTGCCTAGCTATATTTTTTTTCTTTAGTTTTCGTTTGAAAAGCAATTTTTATTCATTAGACATTTCTGACTCTTCTCTCCACTCGTTTCTTTCTTTCTTTTTTTTGCTAGATCTCAAGTAAAGCAAAATATTATATAATAATAATAATACATGTATAAATCATAAATTAGTATTTTAATCAAACAAGCAAACAAAACTTCCAAATTTCAACTCAAATAATAACACAACTTAAAAAACTGTTTAGCGAGACTGTTGAGACAACAGAGAGAGATACGTATTTGTAAACACTGTTCACAATGAAGCGCCTAAATACACACTACACATTTTTTATCATTTACACACTCACACAGACACAGCCAACAACAATTATTGCCTAATGTTAAGAACAAACAGAAAGAGTTGCGCAAAATTTGCCACACCCAGCTAGAACTTTATAATAATAATAATAATAATATCAGCAGTAACAATAAATGAGACATACATATGCGTATAGGCAACAAATTCTAAATGACCATAGTTAAGCTTAAATTTAGTAAAACTTCACACACACACACACCTAAATATTAAACAAATAGTAAGAACAAAAAGTAAACTGTCGCTGATTAATTGTATTTAGTCAGCCGCATCGAGAAATGTGCGCCATTTTCTAAACAATTGAATAACAAACAAAAAATACCTAAATATTTTAAACACCTTTACTAAGTTTCGTTACGCATCTGAATGATGTACATTATTGATTGATTTAATGATGATGATTGATGATGATGATTGAGAGCATTTTATTAACATTTAATTTGCCTTCTAAAAAAGTTTTATATTTTTAAATTTTGTTTCTTACACACAAACACACACACAAACATACACTTATTAACCAACACAAACTTTTTTATAATTAATAATTAAATTGTGTTTAAATTTTTGGCAACGCCGCGCCATTTTCTGTTCAAAATTGTATGCCTCAAGAAATTTCCGCGTTTGGTGACTTTGTCCTTTGAGTAAGCGAAAGCAACAACAACAGCAACAACAATTCAAATTGCAAATATATACATATATAATTAATTTTAACGTTCTGTTTAATTTGATTGTACTGATTTTATATTGTTTTAAATTTGTAATTTTATTCCTAAGTTTTAATTGTTAATGTGTTTTTTTAATTTGTAAACTAAAAGCAAATCGGCAACTCAACTTGTTACACAATCCGTTAAAGTTTTCGGCAACAAAACAAACAAACTAACTAACATTTAAAACATAATCATTATTTGTTTATACATTCGGTACCACAAAAATTGTCCCCCTTTCCCCACCCCGCCCCCTCCTCTTCCGTGTTAAATATTGTAATTTGTAATTTTGTTTAATTTTTCGGGAAAGCAAAAACGTTTGGCAAAATTAGTTTTTAATTTGCATATTTAGTTTTGTTTGTGCGCTTAAGTTTTCAATATTATGTTATATAAATAAATATATATATATATATATATATATGAATATTAATTTTTAGCAAAATATTTTTACGTCTAAACTTAAAACTAATGTTAAACAACAAACAAACAAACCGAATTACTTACCCAACCAACCGATTGGCTCTAAATACAAAAGAAATAAGCGCCTACAAAATTATTTACCGGCTCATAAAACTAAATACTGTCTGAAGAATTTAAAACAACAAGCAAACAAATTTCAAAAATTCAATTCAATATACAAAATTTAAGCAACAAACCGCGTGGAAACTGAGAATGAAGCAAAAAATATGGAAATATTACATGAATTGTGATGATGCAAAGGCAAGATTTAATCATAATTAATAAATCTATATATACATATATATATCTTTCTCTATAAATATATATATATGCATATATATTGTATATGTAGGCGTGTATAATCTAACTTTACTTTTAAACAGACTGCGTACGTATTAAAAACAATTAAAGTTAATGTGTAAAATGTTTTAAGTTTTTGAAAAATTGGCAAATAAAGAAAACAATAAAAATTAATAAATCAAAAACAGAAAACGTTTTGAGAAATTATGAACCACACACCACCAACACCACCACCACCACTATTACTGGTGTGTGCCTCTCTGTGCATCAAAATTCGAAACTATTCCAAATTATTGTTAATATTCTCAAGCTTTTCAGCTACACTTTCGGCCCAAATCTAATATATCCTCCTTTCGAGTGCACACCAATTGGCTAAAGCGCGCAGCTGTTTATAAAGCAAAGCTTCGCAGGACCAAACAAGGACACGAGTCGGGTTAGTACTGTTCTGCCAAGGTCGACAATATTTGTAATAACGATGAATGTTTCCATGCCAAGACTACTTAAAAAAATACACGATAAATTAAAAAATAAACTTTAGATTGTTTGCTTGGGCCGCCATCGAAGGTCTGTAGGTCTATATAGTAGATCTGTTCTGTTTTGTATTTCTAGTACAATCGAACATGCACTCACACCCCTTAAATTTAATTTGCAAATACATAATAATCATAATAACTACAGCGATGCCACATTTCATTTTTGTATCAATCTTTTTTTATACCATTTATATACATATATTCACGTAATATATACGTTTTATGTACACTTAGCGTTTGTGTGTGTTGCCCTCCTTTCAAATTTGACTTATACCTATATTATTAGTTGTAAATGTTTTTATTAATCTTTAAAACGAATCTAACAAATCGCATCAACACAATTAGCATACATGCCATGCAAATGAGGAGAATTAATAAACCGTGAACGTAACGTCGCCAATTATAAAAGAACACAAAACAAATATTACATGAAGAAGCTGAAGGATAGGAGAAGCAGAAAAAGAAAACAAAAAGAGAATAAAGCAAAACTTTTATGTCTTACGATTATTGTTAACGAAGAAAATAAAAGTGAGAAGCATATTGTACTAAAATATTTGATATACAAACATTTGTTATTATTTGTAATACGAAAATTAAATAAAATTGCATCCAGATAATAAATAAAAAATAAATCAATTAACAGTGCCTAGCTATTCGGGACCAGGGCTACCAACATTTGGAATCGAAAAACTCTCTACTGACGTATAATAAATAGATCGCGAATATTGCCTGAAAAAAACTACTGGGGATTCTACGTTGTTGTGTGCCAACTTTGGTTATTCTAGCTTTTATAGTTTCTGAGATCCTTGCGTTCATCCAGACGGACGGACAGACGGACGGACATGTCTAGATCGATTTCTCTCGTCGTGCTGATTCAGAATATATATACTTTATGAGGTCGGAGATGCTTCCTTCTGCATGTTACATACTTTGCACAAACCTAATATACCCTTTTTACCCTACGGGTACAGGGTATAAAAATGGCTCAGTAATAAACGATTTCCCAATAGCCATTTAGAGGAGTTGAACGTTTCTCACTATAAACAGACTAACGCAGCTATTGAAATCCGCTGGATAAATGAAGAGCATTTTTCCCATTTTCAGAGGGCTACCAATATTTTAGGCCCAACTCATTGTTGGCAAGACGGGCAAGGCTAAGTATAAAACTTAGTAGGCTTGTCCATTCAATCTATCTGAAATTTTCATAGAAATTTTCACTTCTCATCCTAAAGTCTTGCAGATTTTACAGTCTCTTCTCACAAAAATGTCAAAGTTTTTATTTACTGACAAGGTTGTTACCCAGAACCTATGGCGCATAAGGAAGACCATGGCCCAGATGGTACACGATCGCGGCTACCTTGTCAGTTCGAATGAGAAAGACCAAACGCTAGAAGAGTTTTCTGCCGAGTTCGGCAGATATCCAGTCTCCGAGAAAAAACCCCTTCGTAGCGACCTAACAATGATGGTGGCCCACATTGACGATCCCAAGGACGTGATACTCGTCTACTTCTCTGATGATATTAAGGTCGGCATCAAGACCATTCGGGACTGTGTGACGCGCATGAACACCGCAGACATCTTTCATGCCATTCTGATCATACGCTCTCGCATGACCCCCACCGCCAGGATGTCGCTGCAGGAGCTGCCGCGCTATCGCATGGAGTACTTCACAGAGCGAGAACTCATGTACAATATCACAGAGCACGAAATGGTACCGAAGCACATTGCCCTCACCGAAGCCGAAAAATCGGAGCTCTTAGCGCACTACAAGGTGAAGATGAGTCAACTGATGCGTATCACCACCACCGACGTGGTGGCTCGTTACTATGGTCTGAAGAAAGGCCAGGTTGTCAAGATAATCCGCAGTTCGGAAACAGCGGGTCGTTATATTTCGTATCGCGCAGTGGTGTAGAAGCTCCAACCGAAGAAAATATAAATCCTTCAAAGAAATTTCGTTCGATTACTTGGCACAGTCCAAATAAAAGAGTTCTGCCCCATCAGCGAAAGATTTTATTTTTAGAATATGACAATTGTGGCTTCATAACGAGATGCGAATTCTAATTTTGTTGATAAAGAACACGACAAGATACGACATGATGTAGTCCTGTATTTAATTATTCATTAATCGTAACATGTAAGTATAACATTTTTACGGACTAAGATACGTCCTTGATTAATTTAAAGCCGTTCATGAACACAATGAACAGCGAAACAGAATGGTTAATATGTGATAAATTGCAATATATTAAAAGCATTTGCTGCGTGACGATGATTTGCTTCGAGTGTTGCGCGTGTTGGAGGAACTTGCAGCCGAAGTCATTTCTTCGCCGAGCACAGTCTCATCAACGCTCGCATCATCTTCGGGTATTTCCTCATCACTATTCGCTTCTGTGGTTGTGTTGGCATAGGAAACCATAGGCATAACAATTGCGTCGCCATGCAGATCCTTATTAATCAAATTTCCCATGGCGAAAACAGAGTGGCATTTGTTGGCAGCCAGTAGAGCTTTCACTTGAAAAACTAAGGCTTCTACCGTTTCACGTAGGGCGGGAATGTAGCTGATGACAGTCGTGTTCTTAATATATTTTGAATGGCAACAGAGCTGGTGCAAAAATCTGGTAATTGTCTGCAAATTGCGTAAAAATGAGCCAATGCGCTCCGCATTCTCACGCAAGGTGCTCTCAAGCACCGAGAGGCCGCGCTTCAGCAACAGTTTGAGGAACAGCTGCGCGTGTCGCAAAAACAGAACAAAGTTCCGGGGCTGCTCCACCGTCTGCACAATATCCAACAGACCGTTTAACAAGAAAACGTTCGATTCCCAAAGCTTAAAGCGATCCTCACCACTTGTCACGTTCAATTGTGCGCTCAACGAACTTGTTAGAGTCTCACACAGACCACGAAATAGCAGCGGAAAGTTTGCTCTATAAGTTAAAGAACAATAAGCTTATTGAAGGCTTAGTAGCTTAAGAATGTGGATTACTTTTTAAAATTAGGGAACGAATTGAGAGCCTTGTCTTTTGTATTCAGTAGCTGGCACTCATCCAGCAGGTCCCGCAATATATGCTTTTGACGTATGTACGATGAGTTCTTAAAGAAACCCTTGACCAGCTCATCCAGGTAGATGTTACACTGCGCTCCTTTCTCAGGGCTTGCAGAATAGTGATACCACTTGCGACGCAACATCTTGCCACAAATTTCTCCTGTAATAACAAAATCTCATATAGGTAAGCACATATGTGTTTAATGTGATCAGAGACTTACGTATTTCCTCAGTTTGGCGTTCAATGTGCTCGAAGCCGTCTTCGCCACTGAAGCAAAGTTTACGGAGACTGCGCAACAGCTTGTCGAACTGTACGGCTGCGTTCAGAGTGAGCACAGAGGGCTCATATTTTAGGAAATAATTGAAAACCTTGGCTACAGCATCGATAACTGGCTTCTTCTTGATCCGTTCACGCTTCTCGGGGGGAAAGAATGACACCACACCAACTAAAAAAGATAAACAACATTAAAGAATCATTCAGATCATTGTCAAGTTGTTTAAACGCAAACCGAATAAGTTTACGAAGTTTACTTTTTCCACATTTTCCACACATTTCAACACTTACTCATCAACTGCATGGCAAGTGATTTATCGCTCCAACCGCTCCATGAGAAAAACAATGCAAACACCTGTATGGTGAGACCAAAGCACACCTTCACATAGTTGAAGTGTTCGGTAAATAGATCCAAATTGCTGTGCAGTTGATTCACCTTCTCCAGCTGCTCATTGATGAGCTTAGCGAGAGACTCGAAGTTGTTAACTACATTGTGCAGCAGATGCGAAATGTCGCTCATGAAGTGCATGGGTTTCAAAGAAGAGACGTTCGTATCCTGTTTGTCATTGACGACGGCATCAAGCTTTTCAACCAAATCGGTTAGAATAAAACGAAGCTCCGGCAGTCCCAAATGCGTGCCAACTTCCTCTGCCTCCAGCGGATGGTGCAGACTAAGCGGCTCATCCAATATCATTGTAATGTTCTCGCTCAACTGTCTATATCTCTCCAACGGTCCATACAACTGCTCGAAGTCGACTTTGACTTTTTTCGACTTGCATGCCGCGAGTCTAACAGTCACATCACCCAATCTGGTTTGATTGCCAAGCTCATTAGGGACCAACGTATCCATGGGCTCATCAATGGGTTTGCACTTTCCTCGTTTGCCTGACGGCTTACCTCGCGGCTTACGCAATGCCGTTAGCTGAGCCGACGCTCCAGTTGTCCGAAACTCGCTGGGTGGCGGTGCAAAATCCACAGGTGCATGTGATAGTAACACTTTAATCATCTGCTCTGTCTTTATCAAATCGTGCAAACGCACCAAAACTCGTTGGCGAGTACTAGTGTGCCTTTGTGTCGCAAATCTACAGATCGTGACACGCATCCAGTTGACTGTTTGGAAATATATATATAATAACTGCTTCTGCTGTGCCGCATCGTAATTGTCGAAGATGGCCAAATAGTTGCTACTATCAAAGAACGAGGGCAGTACTAAGGCGCAGCCAAGCAGCGCATTGATAGCCTCCAGGCTATTCTCGTGCCGTTCCATATGCAGCATACCCATAAAATTAAAGAGTGGGGCGAGCACCAAAATAGAGCTAATGGCGCTGTGAAAAAAAGAGAAGTACCTAAGCCAATTATTTCATCGATGAGAGTGGGGCGACCGAAATAATTACCTGCTATCTGGCGCAAAAATCAACTCGGCTATGTTAATGCCAATTTTGAGCACTTCAGACTCAGTATCTGCACATGATTCGTCCAACTGGTTTATGCATTTCAAATAGTCCAGTTTAATGCCACTGAAATGTAAAAGGTTCAAGTATAACAACAAAAATTACAGTTTTTCAACATTTTCGAATTTCGTTTTCCTTTTCCACTTTTTCAAACAATAGATAGCCTATCTTTTAAGACCGTGTTCATATCATATCTGCAAAAAGTCTGTTCATTCAGTCCAACAGTGTTAAAGTCTTTAAGACTAAAGAGGCTTTGGTTAAGTAATTCTGTGAGAAGCGCGGAGGAAGGCCACATTTCTAATTCAATTGTTAACTCCCGTTATACGACTGAAGTGGTTCAGCAAACACGTTGGTGTGGGAATGGATGGAAATTTTAAAATAAAGAAGCCATCCAACAGAGTAGCTAAAGCAAATAATACAACAATTTATAAATAGGATTGTGTAGATGGGGAGATTGAAGAACTCCAAATTTAAAACCAAAATCACCTTAAATTGTACCATCACTTACTTGATGCTGTCGGCTTGATGTTCGGTTATAAAATTTTGTTGAAAATAATGAGTCATCAGTTCACATAGCCATGAGATAAATAATTTGTCCAATTGGTACCCATTCTCCGCGTCGAGGCGCGTATTGAAAACGCTTTCCATTTCATCGTAAAACAACGCCAAAGATTCGGCACTGTGTGTGATGGATGATTGTGTAAAGACTGCACAAGAAAGCCATTATACCTTTGAATAGAAATTATGCTTTGGATGCACTTACGCAATAAATTAGCTGCCTGCTTTCCTCGTCCCTCGGGCAAACCACTTATGCTATCAATGGTTGTATGCAGATCTTCATCTGGCGCACAAACAGGATTGACGCGTGCAATTGCATCGATAAGCTGCACGCATCCGATAATGCCCTGTTTCTTGACAAACTCTGAGCTATTGATCAGCTGCTTCTTCACCAGCATATCAACTTGCTCCTGCAATGCTGAACACTCCTCACTAAGGTCTGCGGGATGCGCCACACGACATACCAGTTCCATCACCATGCGCGTCTGCGACAGTGTCAACTCGCCTAAGCGTTCCAGTAGAGGTAGAAGCATTGTGGCCCAGTTCTGCATATCCTTGGCGTACTTGCGTTGCAAATCACAAAGCAAGCTGAGTGCCATGGTCATCGAGTTTTGCACAGACTTGTCACAAGCTAACTCCAACAGCTTCCTAATAATGTTCTTTTGTATCGAGCCGCAAATTTTGAAGAGTATGCTGCATGGTAGAATTTAAGTTGATTATGTTGAGACTGATTAGGCAATAAAAAGGTATTAAAGCACCTGTACGACGATTTGGCGAACTCAGCCACAGCTGGATTTTTCTCACGCATAAAATCATGTAATATATTCATCAATGTGCCTATAAGCAGCTCCAGCATGTACGAATAGTGAGTTTTGGCGTCCGACAATATGTTCACAGTTATGTGCTCCAGCTTTATGTGCCTGCGCAGCTGACAATGGCAAACAAGGACTTTTAGCATGTCGGCATTGTTATTAAATTGATTTATAATACTTACTATATTCTCAATGAAAAACTCATTGTCCTCCTTAACGTGTATGAGTAGGAGTAGCATGATCAGGTCAAAGGATCTACAAGATAAAAGCCAAACGAAAAGAACGTTAAAGACGTGTTTAGACTTAAAGAATCCACGCACTTAAGGCTGTTGGAGGGCAAGGAAGCAATGGTTTTCTGCCACATCTGATAGAATCGCTTGGACCGAATAAGTCCAACTTGAAGGTTGTTAAAGAGCTCCAATTGCAACGGCTTGTCGTTGCCAATGTTGGTACTTGAATTCGATGCGTCTGTTTTTTGGAGTGAGTTGAAGATTTCACGCAGCACACCGACAATCTAACAATCAAGAAAATGTCTTCTATTTTAATCTGCAAAGACGTAGTAATTATGAACATACCTCACGCAAAATTTCATCGCCATCCTGTTTTAAGCTATTCAGCAACAGTCGCACGAGATGGGGCAACGTCTAGAAATTATAATAAAGTCATTTTTAATCTGCAAATGATAGCTGAGATGCTAACATACTGCATTTGGGCAATGACCTTCCTTGACAAAGGCCAAAATACGTGTGCGCAGCTTATCCTGAGTTCTGGCGTTTAGTGACAAGTCCCCGAAGGCCTGCACCGTGGCTACCTGGAAGAGCTGCTTGCTGTTGGCGTACTTTGAACTGTAAGCACACGCATGTTAGCAATTGAAAAATTACATCTCGAATCAGCTATGTACATTAAAAGATCCACAAACTCATCGTGCTTGCTCCCATCCAAGAGAAACTCCGCACACCCTATAATGTGCAACATGGACGAATGTGTAGCGTGGTTGGAAATGGACTTGATGCGCTCGTAAATTTCTTCACTGTGCGAAAAAGTGACGAAGCGCAGCTGTGCCAACATTAGAGGCAGCATGGGAAAACTTTCCTGCGGTAGCTGTTCACGCTCCGAGCAAGCCACCTCCTCGATCTTGTCCAGCAGCACTGCCAAACAAGGCTCGCGCAAAAAGTCAATAATAAGAAAGTTGACGAACATGCTGCTTTGCGATTGATAAACCAGATCTTCGCCCGAAGAATCGATAGTGCAGCCAGTAAGCAGTTTTTGCGCCAACTTCGATGTAGACGACAGAGCAGTACTGAGGCCAGTCTTGAACATGTAAACGTTCTCGGGATAGTTATGGGCGCGTACGAGGTTGTCGCGCAGCTTCGCGACAATGGCTATGTGGTCGCAGGGCAACACGAACGTATCGCCTTCATCCAATTGTACACCCGCCTTCACAAGCTCCAACTCAAAGTAGCTGTTTGCTTGGCGGGAACAATTGACACGCGAAGAGGATTGGGTGCGTCCCAGGGTGGCGGCCAGCACCATGCTGCGTTGCGACAAGAACCGCTGAGTCTGCTCCTGTGATTCGGGTATGTTTTCCTCACTGCCCGCCGGCTCGATCGTTGCTTCTGTTGTGGTATTATTGACATTGTTGCTGGCATTCACAGCCGACAAGACCGGACGCTAGTATAAAAGATTCGACCTATTTTCAATTCGTTAATAGGTAATTTGTGGACTATTTACCAGCAAATTGATTGAAGTATCTTCATCAATTGTCCTTAGTTGCCGTTTCTTATTGAAACGTCTGTAGTTCATCTTTTTCTTCAATTTCACCGGCTACTGCAATTCAAAATGCAGCTGACTTGAAAAAAGGCGCTGACGCTGGCCGGCTGGTGCGTTTTCAGTATTGTCCAACACTGACACTAACTGGGCTGGTCACACTCTACATTTTGCCATTCCCATACAATGTTGAGTTCAAATTCTCAAATAACGGTATTTATTCGTTTAACATTATTGTTATAAATGGTTTCGTATTGCGATCGTAATTAAAATGTTGCTTATTTCTAAATGTTATACAAAAAATTAACTCCTGGATGTTGAATGTTTATTTCTATTGGAAGTTTAATCGAAACTATGTATTGAAAAATCCAAATTTGTGCTATGCTCTCTAAATATTTTAAACTTGTTATATTTAAATTTAAAGCCTTCTTCGCAAATCGCAAAATTCTCAATTACTTATTTAACTCTACTAACTCTCATGTTTTTGAATAATATATGTATGTATCCCACATTTTTTAAACATTAAAAGTGCAAAAACTTCACAATGTGTTATAAATATTGTTGTCTAAAAAGGAAGTACAAAATGCTTTAAATGTTTATGTGATTATGTCAGAAATTGACTTTTACCGAGCTTATCGTATTTCTTCGTTAGTTGCTAATTTAGAAAAATCACTAATTTGGCATTATTTTATTATTGCTAGTTGATTAAATTAATGATTCTTTGATGCTTTTTATCACACCAACACAGTCCATTGCGGATAATATGCGTTCAAATCTATTCAAATCTTCACCTGCCCCATAAAATACTGTTCACAATTAAACTCTAGTTGGAGTTGGTGACAGTTGCTTAAATATTAAATTATTGTTTTTTCGCGCGTCGCCTTTTAAAGCCAGTCATTTGTTTCAACAATTGCGAGTTCTCATCATCCAAGTCCATATGTGGCTCCCACAGTCTTAAGCGTCTAGGTATGTAAATCAGCCCCAACAATGTAATTGCTGCGAATTTAATTTAATGCAATACATACTTGTTCAATAAACATAATTCCTTGATAAACTTACTGTTCAAAACGCACGGAAAGATCACGTAAAAAGTCAGGGTGCTGGAACGGAAGTATAACGCTTCGGTGCAGTACAAAACCATGGTAAGTGCCAATGAGCAACCGCCCATGCTCACCACGCTGTAATGAGATAGTAAAGGAGTGACTCCCGAGGCAACAATCGCCTATCAGCAGCGGCATACTCACGGTCTGTAGTGTATGTAGAGCGTACAGTGCACCAAGGCAATTGCTTTAAGCAGACAGTACATGCCAATTATGCGTGATATGGTATAATCGCCTAAAGTAAATAGATCAAAAATCAATAAAGAACATATTCACTACCTTAACAAACTAAGAATTTTTGCAGCTGCATCTACCATCCTTTTATTGATCATGATATTAGTTTTCTTTTTTCTTTTTAAAAGGAAGGGGTAGGACTATATAACTATGCCTGTGGTAAGCATTTAATTAAAAAAAATGCGCAAAACTTAACGTATTGTGGAATCTGTTGGTTTCTTTTGGAAGTGTTTGTGTTAATCAGTAACAAAATGAAGTTACTATTTGTAAGATTGAAGTTAAACATTTTTGTTAAAGAACTCAAAGTCTCTCAAAAGTTGGTTGAATTCCATGGGGGTTCACAAATGACATATAAAAATTTTATATAATACGTATTTAATTTTTTAAATTCAATTTAATTGAGATTGAATTGGATGTGTAAGTATTTGGATTGGTTAGATGCTCACCCTCAATAAACTGCGTATCGGTGTGATTTCCCAGAAAACATCGTTTTTCGATGTAACTGCGAAATGCCGTGCCCAGATCCATGAAAGCCACAAATGCTATCCAGCCCCGAAAGGCGTATAGCAATTTGCGCTCCATATTCGTTTGGTATGCCGTGGTTGCGGTTTTTTCCTCCCCTCCTTGTCAGCGAAATCCAATTCCAAGTCTGTGTTATAGCGACTGCTTAGCACATTGACACCATGGCAGCTCGCTGTAAATTAAAACATATATGGACGAGTGCTCAGTATAGCAGTTACCAGGGCTTAGGCTTAGGACCTCGAGAGTGCAATGGAATTGTGGCGCGACGCTTGGTTAACCATTACAAACAAAGAGAGACCGGCTGGCTTATCAGCAAACACCAATCAATAGGGTTCAAAGCAGAGGAAGGAAACAGAAAACAGAGTATGCTCCGCATGTGCTGTGGAGGAAGTATGCAATGGCTACACTCAGAAAATTTAAAGTAATAGTCATTAAGTGATTTGATAATTAAAAATCATACTATGATTTGATAATTACATATCATACTTCTACTGACACCCATTCATACTAAATGACACAAACTTACTACTTTTGATGGGTGTATGTTTGTCCCGATCAATCATATCCTATAATGCACTCAAAAGCGAACAGTGTCTATAATATTGGCAATATTATTTTCCTAATTGTCGAATGATAGATATTTACTTATTAATCAATGGAAACAACAAATATGAAAAGCATCTTAATGTGTCATCGTTTCATATTGTAACAGTTTTTTAAGGTTCTAGATATATGCATCTTCGAAACGTCTTAAGAAACGTAGTATTCAGAAATTTGCCCCTAATTGATTTCACTTGAGGCGGCTTTAACGGACACCATTTTCCTAATCAACTCAAGGACATGTCGCCTAACACTTTCAGCTGCCAAATTGCGTTCAGTGTATAGAGCTGGCTTTGGTGCCGCCCCCACCGTTCCCAAAACGTTGTGCTGGGGGCGGGACTGTGTGCAAAATCGATATTACGCCAAGCTTGGCACGCGTATTGTTTATGCAATCCTCAACTATATACATACATATAGTGTGTATGTACGAACTATAATTTCGAGCAGCACGCGAGCACGTGCTGCGCAACCCGGCAATGCCGCTTTATTTATATTCCGTCAACAAAAAACACCAACCAGTGGGTCGCCAGAGGCAACGACCACGCGCGTGGCTACAGGGCCGAGATATTCATAATTTTTTAGTACCATCAACACTTTTCTAGTACTCCCGACGGGCTGTGTGCGTATTTTTATGCACAGCGGTTTGGTGTGTGTGTGTATGTTTATTTGGTGACATTTAGATTTGATTTTGACTTACACTGTGAACCCCTGGGCAAGTATTTTTATTGCGTGATACACGCGGCGTATGATTGATATCTGCACTCGTTGCTGTTTAACGGTAAATATTGAAATTTTTTATATTACGCAGGGTTTGCTTGTAATTGCTAGCGGTCTTAACACGAGCATCTGTATATACCAAAGGCCAAAGAATGCGTCCGCTGACTACTTCGCTGCCGTCTGCTGCAACGTTCTGACTCCCACTAAAAGCTCCGTTGTTTATAGGTATGCGCCCTGCGCCAGTGCCTGGAGCTTTTATGCGCAAAGCTTTCAGACTCTTGCCGGCTCATACCGTAAGGTGAACCAACACTTAAGAAACAAATGTTTAATCATCCTAAGAATATTAACATTAAACAGGCCCATGTATGGTTTGATTTTAAGAATATTTAATTTCTGGTATCAAAAGTATAAAAAAGAACAAGAGGTAGAAAGAGAGAAATATATAGTCCAGCGGGCTTGACTATGTGATATACCCTGTTCCTAAAGGAAGCGATTATGCCGTTGATATGTATGCATTGAAATGTAAAGCGATCGTATCTGCAAAAGGAATTGGATTCAAGCATTTTCTTTTCATTGAATATTTAATTTGTAAAGTTGTTAGTGTAAAAAAGCTATAGAAAGAGTCTTATCTTTCCTTGCAAATTATCCCAAGATAAATTAAAAAGTGTGTCTAAGTGGAATAATACTATGAAGGTATGTATATTGAAAATTGATTATTTTTATATGGACAATCAGACAAACAGACGAATATACGAGTATAACTTGGCATGCATTTGTACCCTAAAATGAATCGCATTCTATGTACAGGGTATGCGATGTTGTAACATTTTCAACAATTTGAACTCCTAAATTGCTTGTCAAGTTCAATGACTCTCCAGGTACTTGTTGCTCCTTTACACTTTCAGATTTGACTCGTTTTTCCGATACTCAGTATAGTCCACATAACCATCGTTATTATGGTCCATTGTTTTCAGCACATATTCAATGACTTCCTCCAGCGCTGAGTCCGTGTAAACTTTTGGCTCCACTTTCTCTCCTTCCGGAGGCTTCTCAGCACCGTGCTTGTCGTCCACTAAGAAAAAAGGAACATTGAACATTATATATGAATATTCTCTACTGCAGTAATTAATTTCCGGGCCCACCACGAACCAGAGATTGAGTAAATCGATATAATTAGATGAGAAAGCACTGATGGTTATTTGTAATTTTTTATTTTATTTGCTAAAATTTGTTACTTACATAGAACTGCATGCGTCTATAAAGTAGGTATCAATTTCAAAAAAGATTCTTCATTCACTAAACTTACTTCCTTCGATTTTTGTTTTTTGTAGTTGTTATTATTGTTTTTATAGTACAAAACAAACGTTTTAATAATCAGTCTGTTTTTGTTGCTGCTTTCAAGTTGCGCCTAAAAATTAGTTCATATCGCAAAAAATAACAATTTGAGAGATTGTCGAACAAAAACATGCCGTTGAATTGCACAGACAACTTAGAGATACACTAGTGTGCTAATCGAATTGGTAGGAATTATAAAAGTCTCGTAAATAAATAAAAGTTTGTTCAGATAAGTTGCCCGATTGGAATGCTTAAAGCACGACAAATATTTGTTTAAAAATTCTTTTTGAATTTGCGCTTGAACCGATGTGCACTGTAGTGGATGTTGTCAATATGTTGTGAAGCGAAATCAAGAGTATGTATTGTATGAGACATTCGTTATGAAAGACATAACAAAGCTAGATTAGGTGGCAGGTGTGTCTGTGTCTGACTGGGACACCACAATTAATGAACCGGCTGTTGCGCTTGCTGTTGTTGCTCCTGCTGCTTTTGCTGATGCTTTTCGCTGGCCTTCTGTTGTGCTTTGATAAACTCTGGATAGTCTATATAGCCATCCCGTGATGTATCATCCATTTGCAGAATCGGGTCAATCAGCGCAATAAGTTCTTCGTCGGAGAAAACTTTCTCCTCAACATGTGGCTTCTCGCCGTTTGGCTGCTCCTTGCTGCCTTGCTCTGCTCGATTGCATATCGTAATGAATATTTTAAATGCATATGCAAGAAAAATGTATGAATTTATATTTATTTTGTTTAAAATGTTTACCATGACCAGAAACCATAACCAGCGTTTAAATCCACAATTTTTTTAGTAGTGACGTATATGAAAAGAAGGCAAAACAAAATACATGAATCAGTAAAATTCAATGACAAAATACAAAGCCACTAGACGCGATACAAGACCAAAGACGTGCACTATTGAATCAATTCAATGTCTCGCTTACCATGCCAATGTATCAGCGACTTGATGAGTTCGCAGCCATCCAATTTGTTGTTGTTGTCAGAGTCGTGCATTTTAAAGTAATGAAATTGCAGCTCAGCTTCGGACATTTTGCTCGTATCGATGGGCACCTGCATGTGCTCCTGAATGTGTCTGTGAATAAGCGCGTATGTTGTCAATGCGATAAGATATGAATTGCTCGATTTTAGTACAGCTAAGGCCTGCTTTGATTGATTGCCCTTATAGCGAACTTCGACTGTGGTGATTAGATAGCAGACAGACAGAGGTATTGATTATAAAACTTACGCCCGCTCATGCTGTATGTTGCCAGTGTTTAGCACTTGTTGTGGACCATGGTGGCCATGATGAGCTCCGGCGGGCTGCTGCTGTTGATGCACTTGTTGCGCATGCTGGCCCTGAGGTGGATGTTGCTGTACAGGCTGATTTTGCTGCTGCTGCACGGGCACTTGCTGATATTGTTGCTGTTGTTGCTGCTGCTGGACAGGGACTTGTTCGTATTGGTACTGCTGGGGCGGCACACCGGGAGCAACATTTTGATATTGCTGCTGTTGGTGTTGCGGCGGCGGCGGATGATGCTGGGGTACTTGCTGCGGCACTTGTTGCTGTGTGACGTAGCAAATGGGTCAGGGTTAATACATAAAACTGCAGCCAGCTGGTTGCACAATTTTAAGCTTACATAGTGCTGGGGATTCACTCCCGGCACGACGCGCTGAGCACTGGCGCAGGCGATAAAAGCCAGCAGCAGTGCTGCTTTGTAGTCCAGCGAAGACATCTAAGTGGAAGTGTGCGATTCTAGCGAGGGTGAAGGTACAATAGCAATCAAAATCTTTGGCACTAATCACCACGTCGCTAAGTCTATTAACCAAAACACACACGTACACAAATTGCAGCAGCTTCTTCCACCTTTTACCATTCACCGCCAGCAGCTGTTACCCAGGTAAGCGTCAGTGTTGGTAAATGTCGGAAAATGCAATCGAACTATTTGTTGGCTATTCGATAGCCTGACTACCTGTTTGCATTTTTATTTACCTGCGTTTATTTTCACCTGATTTTTGTCTCAGTAATTTTTCTACTTTTCCGTTTCGTTTATCTTCAGTGCGAAAGACAAAAGATAAATAATGGTAAGTTGATCTATTTATCGCATTAGTGCGAACTTAGTGTGTTATCTGCTACCAATATGTATGCTTTCTAATTGGAAGCCAATGCCCCTGCCCCAATTACCCATTAGTGTTTATGCTAATTAATCAAATACTTTCTTTTGCGTCCACAGGCCCGTTACTTTAAAGAGCAGGACATCGATGGTAATTACAACATGATACACATGTATATTAAAATAGAAGTGACATCATATTAAAAATATATCGTTTTTTCTTATCACCTATTATCTTTAGAGTTCCGTGAGTGTTTCTACCTTTTTGCGCGTTCGGGACAAATTACCAACTTGGATGAACTAACTGTTATAATGCGGTCCTTGGGCTTGTCACCCACAATTCAAGAGCTGATTTCGTATTTGAAGAAAAAGAATGGCAAGATGAGTTTCGCCGACTTTCTCGATATTATGCATCAGCACTCGAAGGTCGAGAATCTGCCAAACGAAGTTATTGCCGCATTTAAGGCAGCCGATCCGCAGAACAAAGGCACCATATCAGCCAAGCAGCTGCGTAACCTGTTGCAAAACTGGGGCGAGGGCTTGTCTGTACGTGAGGTAAATACTTCACTCAAATTTGTTAGAAAAGCGTCTACAAAAATTTGTATATTGGCAGGTGGACAATATCTTTCGAGAAGCCAATGTCAACAATAATAGCACAGTGCGCTATGCAGACTTTGTGAAGATAGCTTGTGCTCCCGTGCCCGACTATTATTGAAGTTGCATGCAGCGCAGTTTTATACAATTATGCATCTACATTCCAAAATATTCCAGTACTGTTGCACCACTATTCAACAAATTACACATTTAATATTTATTTTGTATGAAAAGTTATCTTTTATTCAAATGGAAAACCCTTCATTATGTACAACTGTACTATACCAGGTCTTAGTTGGCAATGGTGACCTCAACCTCTACTCCGGGCTCGATGTTGATCGAAGTGATCTTCTTGACGATCTCAGATGGAGAATGCAAATCAATGATACGCTTGTGAATTCTCATCTGCAAAAAAAACGAACAAATGCGAGTTGTTAAAGATTTAGAAATAATTCAACTTAAGAATGATAAACAATGTCGCATTCCAAGAGCCAAACTACTGTTGGTAAATCAGCAAGGTGGACTATGAGAAAACGTTTAGTCTAGGCAGATCGATATTGATACTGTGCAATGTGCAAGAGGGCACCTAAGCGCGATATCAGATCTGCCCTTATAAAAACTATCAATTTTATTTGCGGCCTTACCTGGAAACGATCCCAGGTCTTTGAACCTTCACCGCAAGGTGTCTTACGTGTGGTGATGCGGAGGACTTTGGTTGGCATACGCACAGGACCCTGCAAGAATAAGAAAATATATTACGTTGGTTCGTACATTCACAAAATGATTTGATTCGTAGATAAATTTTTTCATGTGCTTAAATCACAAAAGATTTCCATACTGTTTTTTTCAGTGCGGAAATAATGTCCGATTAGAACAATTTTATCTGGCATTTATTGATGACTAGGCTAATCGGCAAGCGGTACACGAAGCCTCCAGGTAAATGCGGGCAAAGAAGCAACAGCACATGGATCACATATTCTTACCTTGACACGCAGATTTTGGTTCTTGGCACCGTTGATCAAATCACGGCACACATTCTCCAGAGAACGCACATTCCTGGATGTAAGGGTGATGCGAATGCGGTGCACGGATGCGGAGTCAGTGCCATGGGGCTTCTCAATATCCTTGGGTGCGGAAGCCTAGAATTATATGTGACAAATGTTAGAAATTTTTGAGGTTATGTTGCAGCCCGCAGCTTGACCAACACGTGTTGCCAGCATTTTGCTGAAAGCACTGAATATGCCCAGAAACTAAAGATTGTGGCAATTGTTTCGGATATGGGGTTACATATTTACCATTTTTTAGCAAATTCTCTGGTCGAGTTATTCAAATCTTTTTATTTTGAGCAGCGCTGAACCAGTTGACTTGCTGGTTGTTAACGTAGTGGGACGAGCAACAGTGGCAGCATCACGCACATTGCTTTTGGCGTTGCCACATACGCTATTTAATTAGAGGTGAGATGGTCATTTAACATTCAGACACGAGCATCGCAAACGTGCTCAATATTTGAAAGGTATTCCTGAAAGCTGTTACAGATTTGACTCATCTTAGTCATCAACTAAACCTATTATTTTCAAATATATATCAAATTTAACGCAATAGTTGCTCTAGTTATTCTACGAATTCAAAGTAATTCTGTATTTAGTCACAACTCACCTTTAGAAAATAAATCACAATTGCGATTGCCATTCACAACAAAATGCTACATTGCGCGCCATGCGTCGATTTTCAAAGCGGCAAAAAAGTAAAATCAATTCTTGAAAATTTTAGATATTAGTTTTATTGCAAGTTTTTGAACACAAATTTTAGTTGCAATATAACTTATATTGTAAAATATATTGAAATATGGTAGGAATCATCAAAAATGTTCAATTAAAATCTTTGTATATTTCTTGCAACACAATTACACAAGTTAGAGCACAATGTTGTTGTATTTAAATATTAAAACAACTTTAATGAGCTACCGTAAAAATATTTGCTTCCATTTTCACAAAACAAAATTTAGAAACTGCACTCGATGGTTCTTAAAACTAAGAAGTATGTAGCCGTATTTTTCCTTAACATTTGTGTGCAATAAGCGAACCTGTTTACATATTACATGTGACGTGAAATTTAAACTATCATATAAAGCTTACAAAGGCAAAAAACTAAAAAAAAATTTGTGTCCATTTTTGTAGATAGTCAGAAGTACATGATTTGTGAATAGTTAGGTAAGTTAAACATAAACACCATACCGGCGTCTATTGGGGATTATTAAATGGGATTCCTTTAAAGCGTTTCTGTCTCACACTATACACGTATTCAGATATATATAGTTAACTAATGTACAGTAATTATCGACTCGCGGCCCTTGCCCACGCCCACCCAGCGCACGGGAACGCTGAGCTCACTCTCCAAGAAGCGTACATAGTTTTGTGCATTCTCGGGAAGCTCCTTGAAGTTGCGTATGTCTTCCGTCGACGTTTGCCAGCCGGGAAGTACTGCGTACTCCACCTCAATGCTACCAAGCTCGGCAATAGTGCCGGGGAAGTGATCCAGCTTTTCGCCATTGCTGCGCTTATAGCTGACGGCCACTTTGATTTCGGGCAAAGTATCCAGAATATCCAGCTTGGTTAAACAAATGCACGTGTAGCCGTTGACCAGCGAAGTGTACTTCAGCAGCGGTATGTCCAGCCAGCCACATCGTCGCTTACGTTTCGTGGTCACGCCCACCTCAAAGCCGCGAGTTTGCAGCAGGTCGCCAATTTCCTGTGGAAACATAAATATTATGATTATGGGTGAATGCGGATTTTGTACCCTTTTGTTGGGCAGCACTCACATTTAGCTGTTCCGTAGGGAACGGGCCGTCGCCCACGCGTGTTGTGTACGCCTTGACCACACCGATTACCTCGCCAATGGTTTGTGGCGGCAGTCCCAGACCCGTCAGGACGCCACCAATGCTGCAATTGCTGCTCGTCACATAAGGATATGTGCCGAAATCAATGTCCAGCATGGCAGCATTGGCACCCTCCACCAATATGGTCTTGCCATTTCGTAGGGCCGTGTGCAAAAAGCAAATCGTATCCTTGACATACGGCCGCACCTTCTCTACATAGTTCTTGTATCGTGCCAACTCGCCCTCCACATCGACGTTTATTGATGGGAACAGACGCAAGTGTGTGGTGACAATCGATTTAAACCTGCCAATGAGCGTGCCAACATATTAGTTTTGATTTCCTCCCAACCCACGTGACCCCCTCCCGACAAAACTTACTTTTCACTGAACAAATTGAAGTCGCCCAGGAGCTCACCAACACGTATGCCATTGCGTGTCGCCTTGCTGGAATAGGCCGGACCAATGCCCTTCTTTGTGGTGCCCAGAGACTTGCCACCCTTCTCCGCCTCCTGCATGCCATCCACATACTGATGGAAATCGAACACCAAATGCGCGCGATCCGAAATAATTAGCCGTTTCTCCAGCCCCTGCAGACCCTTCTTTTCGTTCTTTAGCACCTCGTCGAAGAGTGATGGCAGATGTATAACGACACCATTGCCTACAATTGTTCAACAAAATCGTAAAAATAATCAGTTAAGCTTAATGCAAAGGTGCAAAGTAATAGTTTTGAACTTATAATCTCTGCTTTTCAATTGTTTTTTTTATGAATGGTACATCAGTACTGATCGTACATGGCAGTGCTAACACCTAACGCCCCTATCACTCCCAAAACACCCATAGGGTGGGCACACATTATTCTCATACTATATGCGAGTACACATTTGTCGATAGCGTGCATGAAAAATTGGCACTAATCTCAATCATGTGATCGTATAATGACTTCATTTTATACCCAGCAGTGCTCTGTCCTCTGACGACGCCTGCACTTTTTCCTGCGTTCACGTTTATTCTCAGCGTTAAGTTGTCAAGTATGATCGCTATTAGATATACTAATATACTTATATTGGTAGTTGAGATTGTAAACAGCTTTTTGAATGACAGACACTTTTTATTATGGACATTCCATAACAACTTTTCATTGCCGGCGTGTCCTTATTGTTAGCTGGAACTTGGATCATCCCGTGTTGAATTATAGCTTAATCTATAGCCATAGCTAAATAATCCCACATTTAAACGAATGATTTTTGCCAGATTTTCTCAAAAAATCTCTATTGGAACTTTTTAACACATGCTATCACACTTAAGTGGAGGTCGAAAGAGTTACTTTTAAAGTTTCTTGTTAAGGTAACGATATGTCGAGCTTTGTCATTTAATTACTCACAAAGTACTTCTATTGCTAGCAAAGCGATAATGCAGTCAAAGCTTCTGCACACGTATTATTAAATTGGCATCAGAAATTCGTATAAAATTATATAATATGTACCGATAAGTAATACATTAAGCACGTAGATACGGGAGTAAATCCCTTTTGAAAGGATTTGTCGTTGTAGAGAAACAATTACTTGAACTTATTGACTCATAGGGAGGCATTGTTTGTATAATTAGCATCAGGGAACAATTTTAGACAGAGAGAGAGTGCCGCGCAAACATTCATTTAACTCTTATCTTCTTTTTTCTTATCCCATACGATAGGCGCTGCATTGTTTCATATAATAAACAATTTTAACCAACGTTAGCATTATATAAATGGTTGTAAAATTAATCGTACTTAGAACGTGTTTGTTGTCAGCAACAAACACGTTCTAAGTACGATTAATGTTTTTTAATTTTGTTGTAGAAGAAATCTGAACTCTAAGAGACCCACATTAGTTCAATGTAATGCTCTACCAACATTTTAAAAATGCGTTTTAAACTCGTAAGTAGTGTAGGGATCAAATGAATTGAAAAGCACGCGACCTCTGTTCGGAGCAGAAACCGCGCGTTACTATACCTAAGTGATATTGTTTATAGTTTTTATGGCTCGGCTGACGAACTGAGGGAAAAATTGAGTTAATTGCCTGATTATAATAATTCTCTACACATATACATACATACATACATACATACATACAAGTATGTATGTATGGTGTGTTCGTATATGTGTCCATAAATGATATCTAAATTGCAAGAACGCACACAATAATTATATAAAAAGCTCTCTGTGTGTTGCTGTATCAGTAGGGGTTTGGGCGGTTCGTGCGATTACAATTATCTCTCAAATTAGTCTTGTGACAAGCGATGACAGTGCACAATTTGTTGTTGTTGCGGTTGGTAAACAATGACAGAATAACAAGCCCTGCATCGATTAAACTTTTGAGCAACAGTCTGAAGTTCCTTACAGAGTCAGTCAGTCGAATCGTAAGTTCTTGGAGCTCCTTTCGTTGGCCTTGCATGTTTCTTTTCCATAACCCATCCCCGCCCCTCCTGCAAAAATGTACTCTATAAATAAAGTCAAATTAATGTGCATAATGAAATTAGTTTGAAAATATTTTTAATGGGCGCCTGGTACATTAGTGCCGTGATTTTATTCGCTGATATTATCATGATGTGCATTTTCAGAGTTTAAAAATATGGTCCCTATTTTGGATTAGAGAGTATATTGCTGTTCACTCAACAGACGAACGCTATTTAAAGTACTTGTATGCGAGCTCACTGATTTCATAACTATATACTTGTATATATAATACTTAGCCGCGCAGATGCCGTGCTTTACAATATACATATATGTATGTATGTGTATATATTTATTTGTACACATATTCTTGATGAGTACATGAACCTATACAACCGTGACAGAAAGTCCGTTCGACTGTACGAACGCTAGAATCTCGGAAAATATAAGAATTACAAGTAGAGTCGCCAAACTGGACGTACTAATTAATTGAACTGATACATATTCATATTTTTTGAAAATTTTACATTTTTTTTAAATTATAATCTGTTGCCTATTTAACCCTTATACAGTTGTTGTTACTGTTTAAACAAAATGTTTACACAAACACATTGCAATTCTAAAAAAAAGGAGAAATTTTTGGAAAGTCTATATGAGAGTCCTGCGGCCTCGCTTCGATCGTTTCAAATTCAATCTTATTTTCAACCGAACAGTTAATTTGCTTTGCTATTTCTGCATGATTTTTATTAAATATGACCAATTATGGTCTTCACAAAAGTATTTAAGTTACAAATAAAATGACAAATTGTTATTTGTGCATTGAGTAAGTGGGCCGTGTTTTGATATAAAGATACGACCCAACACTACGAAATACTCGTGTGTAACGACTATGTTAAAACTAAGAAACATTCATGAGCGGATTGACCCTCTAACAAATTGATGCTAGTATAGTATTTACAAAAATATAAGTTTTCAAATTCAATTTTTGTTCTTCAATAAATTAACACTTCTTTGGGCCTTTGGAAAAAGTTAATATGTGTCACTAATGTTATTAGTTTTTTCTGGACACCCCTATGACATGTTTTCATTTCAATAGGACACAAAAATAGAAAACCTTAAATGTGGGCGCGCGAATATCAAAGTCAAACAAACTAACCAGAAAGCCAATGTCAATGATGTATAGTATAGTACATAAAATAGAGGAAAAAACTTGGCAAAAAGATCTCTTGCTTTTTCAGTTCGCAAAAAAAAGAACATATATAAAACGGACCGACAGACCAAGAAATACAAAATATACATACGTATGTATGTCATACTATACATACGTATGCATGTTGTTTTTAAATTTAAAGCAAGAAATTGAAAGTGAAATAAATATATGTATGTATAAAAACAAATAAGATGCTTACTTTCATTGAAAAGTTTCATTGGTTTCAAAAATATTTCGTGTGCCTCATTGCTTTCTTGCTTGCTTGTCTGATTTCTTGCTCTACCGGGAGAGATTACGTTTTGGCGATTCTTCAATTATTGCTGCCCTCTCAGCTGTCATGTGTCATACCCATCAAGGTCTACGGTCTACGCGGCTGGCTGAAGTACTAATCAGCTGGGGCCAGGCAACATGCCCTGAATTGTTGAACTTACCGATCACCGAGATGCATTTCTCGTTGACAACGCCACTGGGCAAGAGATGGAAATCGAATTCGGTGCCATTGGCCACGACGGTGTGTCCAGCGTTATTTCCGCCCTGTCAATAGAGAGAGGCAAAAGAACAACACATTATAGCGAGCGCTAGCATGTACATACACGTACATGTCCATACATATGTATAGCCAGTCAGCTGCCTATACACATACAAAGGTACATTTTGAAAATTAGCAAGTTTGTTATTGTTTATCATAGCGGGAGCGAGAACCCGTGTGAAAAATAAATAAAAACGTAGAATACAATTGGTTTCAAATAACAATCAGCATTACTTATAAAAATTAATTAATAGAAAAGACAGCCTACAAGCAATGCAACATCTGGAAATTGTACAAAAATTGGCTTGTATAGTAAACTCGGATGAGAAATTTATGTACTTAGTGTCAATTGAATACAATCGGTCCCACTGCAGCTATGTATATAAATAATGAGGCTAAAAATGTAATAAACTTTATCTGCGTATGGGCAAAACATGTCTATATGTATATTAATTTGAGTGTATCTAGCTATTATGGTTCAAAAGTTATCTGTGTGTATATCGATTCGGAAACAGTTTTTCGAATTAAGTTATAATCCCCGAGTTGCGGATTCGTATTCGGCAATGGCGTACGATAGCATCTCATCTATATCTTTGGTGTCCTTATAGGTTTGATGGTTACCCTAAAATGAAATCTTTAAGCAAATAAAATAGATAACACAAAATCTCAACTGTCCGATGTTATAAGGAAACATCGACGGTATGTTGATGTTTTAAGATTCCTATAGAAAAACGATCGTGACAATCTATAATATAAAGACGCAAAATCTTGTACCTACATACATATGAGCTTTTCATTTTTTTGGAGAGCATCATTATGATATATGATGTCCAGATATTTTTTTAAGATAAGGTGTATATTACCATTAGAAGAAGGAATTTTTAAGATTTTTCTCAGTCAGTGGTGAGAGTTCAACTCTTAAATCCTTGTACCACCCAAAAAAAAAAATTAATTAATTCATTAAATATAAAATATTCAACACATGCATACACACATAAGTGTTTATGTACAATTTCAACAGCATGCATTTACATCAGAATAATGTGTATGTGTGCTAGTATGCAGTAAAGAAATAAATCAAAGCACCAACAACAACAACAGATTCCGGCAGAGCTTGGGCAGAGATTAATTGACCTATCATGATGAAACTTGGCATACGGACTAATAATCACTAACTGGAGGTATTTGCTGGAAATTTAAAACTATTGAAGTACAAAACTCCAATACTTATGGGAATTATAGAAAATGAAACGAATTGCGCGGGAGTGGGGGATGTATCAGAATAGGGGAACCTAGATACCAAGTTTGGTAATTCTAGCTCTTGAACCTTCTGAGATCCGACTCGGCTTGTCATCCTGATCAATAATATACATACATATATACTTGGTGGGGTTGCCATGGCTCTGTGTTACACACATTAGCACAAAACTAATATAGCCTTTTAACCTTTGGGTACTGGCTATAAAAACGTAAAAGTTAGTCATTACTTAAATTACCTACCCAATGATTAATAAACCGACTGATTATTAATAAACACATACCTCAAACGACTGAAGTTTGATGCATTCCTTTGTAATACATTTGACACACAAGAAAATAATTTGCATTACAACAAATCAATTAAATTAAAATATTTCGAACTTTGGAATGATGCAATACTTTGAATAAACAAGTGGAGAAGCAAGAAGGAAATACTGTAGAATAATAACACAAATTTTAACAAAAAAGGAATGCTAAAGTTGAGCAGGCTCAACTCTTATATACCCTGTACCACCCCACAAAAAAGAAATTAAATTAATTAATTAATTAAATTAAATTAATTAACTAAATTAATTTAATTAAATTAATTAACTAAATTAATTAAATTAATTAACTAAATTAAATATAAAATATTCCATACATGCATACATACATTTACGTCAGAATCGTATCTATGCGTGTTTGTTTACTTGTACATATGTATGTACGTGTGCATTGGGACTGGTTATGTGGCTATAACTTTCTTTCCGATCATTCTATTATAATGAAACTTGGTATACGGCTATATAATCACTAACCTAATGTGACTACCAAATTAGTTAAAAATTCCAAGAATTACAGGAGTTATAGAAAATCGTTAATAGGGGGGGGGGGGGGGGGGGGGAGTGGGGGGGTGTATCAGAAAAAATAAACAAACTCGATCTGCCCAGGGCTTATAGGAACCTTGATACCAATTTTGGTTATCCTAGCTCTTGTACTTACTGAGATCCTTGCGCTCATACAGACAGACGGACAGACAGACGGACATGGCTATATCGACTCGTCTTGTCATCCTGATCAAAAATATATATACTTTGTGGGGTCTGCCACGCCTCTTGCTGCCTGTTACATACATTCGCACAAAACTAGTATACCCTTTCACCCTTTGGGTACAGGGTATACAAATTGTTGATCGAAATTCAAACTCACGTAAAGGGTGTTTAACTTCACATTTACATAGGAATTGTCTCTATGCGTGTCTGTATGCGTGTCTCTGCTTGCTTATGGTTAGCTATGGGTGTGTATGTAAGCAGCGCAGAGTGGCTATAACTTCATTTCAAATCGGCCTATCATAATGCATAAGGCATACGGACTCATCATCACTAATTGCAAGTATTTGCCATCCTAAGAATTACGGGAGTTATCACGAAATGCGTGGGAAAGGGGGAGGGAGGGAGGGAATTTCCAAAATACACATTTTCTGCGTATCCACATAAGGCATCTTGGACTAAAATTTGGTGCCCGTAGGTCTTATCTCCCATAGGGGGGAAAGTGGGGGAAAATCAAAAATATAAAACAAACACATAAGGCATCTTTGTGCAAATCTAGGTGATCATACGGACGGACGGACAGACAGGCAAACAGACAGGGCTAGATCGACTCGTCTTGTCATGATGATCATGCTGTCGGGTCTGCCACGCCTCCTTCTGCTTGTTACATTTTTCGGCTCGCACAAGCCTAATATACTCTTGTATATTTCATGTAAAGGGTAAAAGGCTATATTAGTTTTGTGCGAATGTATGTAACAGGCAGAAGGAAGCGTGGCAGACCCCACAAAGCAGGATGACAAGACAAGTCGATATAGCCATGCCCGTCTGACCGTCTGTATCCAGATTCTCCTAAGTCCGAGAAAGTACGAGTTTGAGTTTTTTTCGATTTATTTACCAGTATATTACTAATGCAAGTGCAACTGGAAAGGATATTCATCAAGTTATTGCTCGGAAAACGAATCGAAGAAAAGTGCGAGTGTAGAAAATAGAGTTAGTGGGAGTTTCCACAAACTTAACATGAGAAGCAATTACTTAATAACAGAATTTTGCAAAAATTACAAGTAATACAACGATATTATGAGTATAATACGCGTTTATTTAGAGAGTACAAACAATGGAAATTGTAATTCTGTCTAAAAAATGTACTCAGTATACTCTAGAATAAAAAAAATTAAAACCTATGTCCTCAAACATTTAAATTTATATATAATACTATACTTTCCGACTGCTCAGAACTATGCACGAAAGCGAAAACTATTTTGGCAACTGTACAATTGGTTTCGCTATTTGTTAATGTCTTTTAATTTATTATAAAATTATGAAATTTCTGGCCGTTGAGCGAAAAGTAACAAAGCGAGATGACGAAAATTCTGGAAGATTTTTTGGTACACAAAATGAGAGAAATATTTTCGAAAATTGTGCAAAAAGTAAACCAAAAAAATAATAAACATAGGCAGCAACAAAACAAGATAATCAAATGCTCAAATATTGGCAGGATGGACCGTCAAGCCAACTGAGAAACAGCAACAAATGATGATAAGATAGAGAATATAAATACATATACTAGAGCAGCTGACAACTGCGGGGCCTATGGCTGCGCAATACGCGGAATCACCGGGAGGCGTGTGCGCCGTCCGTCTGTGTGCGTGAGTCGTGAGTCAGTCAATAGAGTTATCAAGGGGCATTGCATAAGAGAAGATGACTTTGTTGCGCTTGCCACGGACTTCACTTTCCAACAAGCACGAATGTGGTTTCAAATTTTCCTTCAAAGGCCTATTAATAGCAGTTCGTTGAACTTGCAAGAAACTGTCAGTTTGGCTAGTCTAGACTCTAGACTATAAGCAACAGGTTGTCAATTAAAATTGGGTACTACAAGTACACGCAATAGTTATTTTAAGTACCAAAAAGGGCGCGAATGGGGGCCTTAATAGAATACCGGAAGTGCGGTTCATTTGTTTCGCACAAAAGGCGCAATTTGTTTTCGAGGTGTATTTGTATGGCGAGAAAATATGCAAACAATTGTATACACAAAAACGAGGGAATGGAAGAGATAAAATGTAAATATTATTTTTTTTTTTTGAGGGGAAGCAGCATAAATTGTGCAGTCGAGAAGTTGAGTTTACGCATTCAACTGAAGGAACGGGCTCAGGTGCACTGAAAAAATGCATTGTTGCGTTTTTTTTTAATATTATGAATCGAGGAATGTGGACACACAAAAGCGCTATTACTCGGACACTGTGGGACACTGTAGCCAAAAACATATATGAGTGTGGTGGAAGGCGAGGTTCTACATACAATGATGATTATGTAAACTTGGCGATTCGCTGAGCAAGAGATGTTTATGTACATACATATGTACGTATGTATATATATGTATGTGTATATGTTCCTATTTAATTATGTCAATGTGTAGAATAGCCATGGGGAACTAAAAGAAAAACCAGAGAGTGTGTGTAGCATGGGTGACGAATTCATGGCGGGAAGAGTCAAGCGAGTAGCAGTAGCGTTTTGTTGGTTCGCAAACACTCTGTGACTTATACACATGCATATACACGCTCTGCTCGAGAGCGCGCACACACACTTGAGCAAACATACATACAACATTGTTGGTTGTTGTTGTTGGCGCGCACTTACACAAGACCGGACGACGACGGCGGGCAACTGATACATACATAAAATACACTACGTACGAACATATGTATGTACATACATTCGAAAAAAAGCATGCGGCCCGATAGCCCAAATTGCGCGACAAACCACGAGACTCTATTCCAAAAGGCCGATTAGCCAGATGTGAATATGGGAAAACATAGACAATTTTTGTTGTTCTTGAAGCGTTAATGGGCTGTGGCAGCATCAGTTTGTTGTGTGTCCTTGACACAAGGATATCTGCCTGTTATCAGCTGATATTTTTCTCTCGCACTGGCTACTTTGATTTTTCGCTATTATCCAACTTTTTGGACAAACCCCAAAAGTGTGGGGGAGGTGGTGCAGAATAGCGCGTGGATTGACTTACCTGACACCTGCACACAATGTCCACCTCAGAGGCCAGCATGTCGACCACCTTGCCTTTGCCCTCATCGCCCCATTGAGCGCCTAGGACAACGTCGACTTTTGCTTTATACATATTCGTGCGTCCCTGATGCAGTTGCTCGTAGGAACTGCCGTTAATTGAGCTTGCGACTGCTCTTGACATTTCGAACTAGGAAACACGACACACGTTGCGATCTCGCGCTATTACTGGCCGCTAAACAAACAAACTCTGACCAAATTGTCTGTCATTCACAACGAAAGCGAACGTAGTGGTGGGCGTTTAACGTGACCGTGACTCAAGTCAGAAGTTAACAGACGCCTGTTAAGGCTTAAAAATATCTTCACACATTTTTATTTATTTAAATAAAAATAATACAATATTAAATTATTTTTGACGACATCGTGACTATGGGAGGCATTGTTATCTCTAGTTCACTGTGAAAAGCACTGATCTGGCAGCACTGCAAAAACAGCTGATTGAGCTGGATAGTTTATTTAACTCTGAAATTGTAGCAGAGATATTTATTCAAAATGTCCGGAACGGGGACTGTTGAGAACTGCCACTTGTAAGTACGAGAACATATGGATTCGGCTCGACCACTTTACACTTCTGTTGCAGATGCCAGGCGGCGCCCTTTAAGTATACATGTCCAAAATGTAACGCGCTTTATTGCAGCGTTGGATGTTACAAGTCCCAACTACATCTGAAATGTTCAGAGGCGTTTTACAAGGACTGTATACAGGATGAATTGGCGAGTGCTGCCACAACGCCGGAAAGCCAGCAGGATATGCGCAAAATTTACGATATACTTAAACGTATGCGAGAAAGCGACGCCGGGTTCAATCCCAAGGACTTTGATGCAGACGGCCTGGGCGATCCTTTAGACTCGGACGATGAAGCTGCATCAGAGGAAGATAATGATCAGCAAAATGAGATGGTGGGTGACGAGGAAGATGGCCAGGAATGCGATATTGCTGCTCGTTTGCAGGGCATTGATATAAACGATGCTGAAGAAGTGTGGAGTCGGCTGACAACTGTGGAGCAGCAGGAGTTTCAGAAGCTTATAGCCAGCGGCGACATTATGAAACTCATGCCTGACTATAAGCCATGGTGGTCTAAGTCCAAAAACTCGAAAATTGTAGTTATATTAGCGCAGAACGAGGATAAATCAGATGTGCCAGAGCTGTGCAAGAACATACCAAAATTCGCGGACATCTGTAAAAGAGCTCCTTCTCCATGTTTGCATTACAATCTCTGGAACATTTTAAGCGCCTATGCGTGTGTGGCGCGTTTCTTTGGCGGAGAGCAGAGAACTAATCCGAGTGAAGCAATTGCCCATTTGGTTAATCTCAGCGCTACGCTTAAGTATGGCACCAATTTTGATGATGCTGAAGACGCCATTATCTCAGTGGAAATGGAAGCGCTTACCACAGGCAATAGTCCTGCAGGGGCAGCTGCAGTTGAAACAAACTTTCTGGTCGAGAGCCGGGACCAGTTACAACAGGATGCGCGCCAGCTAATGTCGACGCGGCATAATAAATTGGCTGCTTTGAGCGATGTGCTGCATCTGTTGCAACAGGCTAAAATACTCATTAAACGTAAAAATCCAGAGGAAGCCCAGTTTCAGAAACTTTTTGCCCTCGCCAGCGGCAGTATTGAATTGAATCGCATTAAACTTACGCAGCTATTGAAGAAAGTTGAGTTCATGTTATCATATGTTGATCGAGAATAAGTTTTTTTTTGCGTTTTATGCCAAATACAAACAAATGTTTTTTAAATTTTTTCATATTTTTGTACGTTACATTTTTGAACCTTTTCAGTAAAACACCATGGACCACGCCTTTTGTAATCTGATGGCGCGACTGCACTCAAAAGTAAGCTGTATTTTGTTGACCTTTTTTAGAGAATGCTAGTACGGACAGTTAGAAAAAGAAGTTATTTCTAAGATTGTTCGCAAGAATGCCCTTTAGAGTACGACAATTCTATCGCACAACATATTAAGGACATTTCTGATAGCTGTTTAAATTATTTTCTTTTAGGGATATTGAATATATAAAGTAGAAGGAAGCGCAACAATACAACCAGTTTGATTTTCCCGATCACCTGTCCACTCTGCTCTACTAAATTTGAAAAAAAAAAAATCTGAACCAAAATTACTTCAGCCATATTGTAAAATTATTCTTGCAGTTAATAATTCAGTCGTTTGTCGCTTTCTATGAATTAAGCCTACAACATAAATATGTATATATGTTTGTGTTGTGGTTGACGCATGTAGTGCAGGATACGCTTTAAGCTTTTGTTTATGTACAATTAATAAAACACATGCATAGATTGCTGTATTTAAGCCGGCAAGCAGTGGAGCTGTGTTGCAAATCAAATCCTAAGTCAAAAGTGGTCGTTGATTTACTTTAATCAAAATCGAACATTAAACAACAATCAGGTATACCTTTTTTGACGACTAAGTGTATGTAGGTATTTTTCAAATGTTAATTCCGTTATGAATCCGAGTACTCACCGCCCAACTTACTCAAACCGCGAACCCAAAGCAGCTCTGCGATACAAAATATCTATCGCGCTGTAATCGGTGGCCATTGCCATCGGTTTTTTTTTTGTTAGTGGAAGGTTTTTGACGTACGACGGCGCATTTGAACGCTCTCGCTCTTTATTTTTGGTATGTTTAATAAATTTAATGCAATCATCACGCAAAGTTCGGACGTTGTATGATGCGCTGAATACTTTAACTTGACAAAATGTTGAATTAATGTGGGCAGCCCAATAACAACAGGAGACAAAACAACAATAAGAACATAGCTAGAATTTTATTGTAAACGCGTTCGTTTTGGGTGCGGTGGTGCGGTATGTAGCGGAATTTTGAATGCGTGTGCCAGTCTGCCAGCATATGTGTGTGGCATTTACACAGCTACAGTGTGTGTGTGTGAAGTGCTCCGCTGCCCCAACAACAACAACAATAACCAGCAAGTGTTCTTCGCTGCTCGCTGGCTCGTACGCTTCGCTCGCTAAATTAGTGCAAAAAAGAAAACAATTTCCCCTACCTGTAATTAAGTGTGTGTGCGTTTTTAAAAATTAAACAAAAAATAGCCGCATAAAACCATATAGATAATTTTAGCAGAGCCACAACCCAGTGCAAAACTTATGTAAGTGCATGGATAAACGTGCAAATATTTTTTATTAATCAGCGCATGTATGTACATGGCAGCCCCATCCCCAACGCCAAGCCAAAAATTTCAATCTTCAAGATAAACGAGTTTCGCGCTGCTTATCTTTTTGGAGTGTTGGGTGTTTGGTGTGTGTTAGTTACGGGTTAGTCTGTCTATTCGGTTTCTGGCTTGTATCCATAGCCTTATGTGTTTGTGTATGTATATGTGTGAACGTCTATGCTTACTTCGTCTGCTGCTGGTGCTTGTCTGAATATACATATAGCTTATCTACCGTGACAACAAATATGCGAAGTATGCGTCAACCTGTTTGTAAACTTTCTGTTGAAAATTTCTACTTCAATGCCGATGGGTTGAGGTGATGACCACAGCGCCGCTGCCACCGCCTCCACCTCCACCTGCGGCTATAATCAGACAAGTCAAAGTCTGCAAAATGAATAAACAATTTAAAATATGCATACATTGGTACATCGAGTATAAAAATCAAAGTCGCCTAACGTGTACAATGCTGAATGAGTAGTTATGACTGCATGCAGCTAAATTTATACACACAGCTACTAACAAAGCAAAACAAAAAACCTGATAGAAATAAAATACCGTAAGTAATGCGGGATGCTGATGCTGACGCTGACAACACAACGTCAACATCGACTTCGAAGTCGCCATCGACGACAATGAGTCGGCGGGCAAGCCACTGTGTCATATCACTCACAATAACTATTGTGTTGTATTGTAAGAGCGGGATAATGGCTATCTGAAGAGATTGTTGTTATTGTTCCTGATACTATTCACCTCACCCCTTCAATTAGAATATGCACAAAAAATGCCGGTTATTGTAGTTGAGTGGCAGGCAGGCAGCCACAGCGAGCAGAGGCGTCTCTTAAACAGTCGCAGGCACTGATTACAGTATGCACATTAAACAGCTGATTGGCCGACTGACTTTATTGCACCACACATGCATATATACATACATACTTATTTATAGTTAAGCATTTAATGAGTTGCTTTCAGAATAAGAATCTTTGCAATCTAGAGGGTAGAGAAAACCAGACAGTACATATCTATAGATAAGAATATTTGTGCTCGAGTGGTGTTACTTATTTAATATATTGTTCATACACACTACATATCCATATACTAGGTAGTGTGTATGAACGATAAGTGGAGTAAGACCTTATATGTACATACATACATACATATACGAAAGTAAACGCTATCTATCATTTGATACTTACACAGGGAGCTTCATTGAACGGCTTGAGGCAATAGTAATGAGAGCACCAAGCCCTTACTTATGAAATATTAATATTTGCGTTAGATTGCTAGCAGTTTCGAAAGTTCGAACAAACTGGAAAAAAGTTTTCAATTAAATTAACAAAAGTGGGGAATTGTTTATTGTGATTAAATAAATTTTCATTTTTGCAGTCATTTCCCAACATTAACTCCGCAAATGTATATTGCTTTCCCATATTAGCGAAAGGATACGTGAAAATACATTGGTGTAAATGATAATTTGGGGAAGATATTACTCTTCTTTTGAGCTAAAAAGAATTTTTATGGTTGATTGCTCAAAGTCATGAGTAAACTTTGTCTTAACTGTGAGCACATACTGATTGAGATTGGAACAACCAAATTTTTTCTACTTATTAACTTCTCAGTTATTCCATAAAAACCAAATGAGTTATATCCATATGCTTCCAGAAACGGTCCATCTGTTATTTTAATTAAATGTAAATTATCGCTAGAAACAATCTGATTATCGTCATGAGATGTATAAATACGTCTTGAAAAGATAATGCGTTAGAGCTGTGAATTGTTTGTAAACTTAATAGGCCAAATATACAAATGTATTCAATACTATATGACGGAAAATTATGTTTCCTGAGGCTAACCATCTAATAAAGGGATTTAAAAGTTTCGTGTTTTTTTGTACATATGTTTCATTCAACTGGCGCAGGAACTACAGCACCCATAATCTACGAGAATATGTATTAGGACAAGTTGCAACAAGCTGTAAATGATTCTCAACAATAGAAAATGACAATGTTAAAGTTATGTCTGTTGAATAGATACCAGCACGTTATTTAAGCTGAACAAACTTAAGATCTTTATTCTTTACTTGAGTTGACAAACGTTGTTCCAACTGTAAGATAACGTTCTCATCGCTATGTGCATGAGTCAAGCTGATGCCATTCGTTTGCATATTTGTATTTATATATGTGTATGTATATTTGAACATTTAAATAGAAAGGTATATAAAAAAGTTCGGAGAAAAAAACAATATGTATTATTTTTGCTGCCAGTATTTGTGGCCGTGAGTCGCAACAATTTATGATTATTACTGAAGCGCGCACAAGCAACACCCAAAAAACTAAACAAAACGGAACAACAAATTACACCCACCTCACGCTTCACTTGTTTATTGAATAATTACTATTTGTGTATCTTTCTCTCTCCTCATTCGTTTGGATGTACTTTTTCTGCTTAGGAAATGTCCCACCACAGCGATGATCAACTTCTGCAGGCTGGAAGTGATTCCTTTTGGGAGCCTGGCAACTACAAACGCACCACCAAGCGCATCGAGGATGGCTACAAGTGAGTTATTGTGGTTGCTGCTGCTGCTCTTGAAATTCTGGGATAACCGGTTCACATTTGTTTTGCTCTCACAGACTCTGCAACGACCTACAGCAACTGATACAGGAGCGTGCTGATATTGAGAAGGCCTATGCAAAAAGTTTGCGGACCTGGTCAAAGAAATGGGGTGAACTCATTGAGAAAGGTAAGCCCACAACAACTGAGTGATGGTCTCTGTATGTGTTTTTTTTTTTGTATTCTTTATTTTTAGAGTGGAAAAATAACAATATAGAATGGATAGAAATAACAATAGGAGTAATAATAGTAATAATAAAAGTAAAAGTAATAATAATAATGATATACGCAGGTCAAAGTCCAGGCGGTACGGCCGTTAGGCATTGCTTCGCCCGGCCGATCAACCCGCTTATATCGCGCTCCTGTCCCGCTCCTGTTTCCTGAGCTTGCCCATAACGGAGGCCGCAAAGTTTGCGCTCGCAGCCCACGACTCTTCGTTAGCGAGCATGTTGGCCACAAAGTTCGACGCCGTTGGGGGTGATCCGGTTGTCGCCTCCAGTCTCCTTCTGTCCGCCCCAAACCTTGGGCAATGGAAGGCTACGTGGTTAGCATCTTCCGGTATCCCTCTGCAGGCCGGGCATTCCGCACTGGAGTCGTGCCCAAATCTATGAAGATAACTTCTGAAGCAACCGTGGCCGCTCAGAAGTTGGGTCAGGTGGAAGTCGACCTTGCCATGTGTTCTGCCGATCCACGATGCTACGTTAGTTATTAGCGTGTGGGTCCACCTGCCTTTTGACGAGGCATTCCATCGCTCTTGCCACTTGCTTACCGTCGTACGTCTAGCCGCCGCCCGCGCGTCCCTTCGAGGCCGCCCGGCAGCAAAACTGTGAAGGTAGTTCGCCTCCAGGACGAGGAGGTCGATAGGTGCCATCCCCGAGATCACCAGTACGGCATCGTCAGAAACCGTCCTGAATCCACTACAGACACGGAGAGCGCCAAGACGGTATGTAGCAGCGAGGTCGCGGATGTAGCTCCTCTTGTTCACCGCGGCAGCCCATATCGGTGCCGCGTACAGCATTATTGATTTGGTTACGCTCATAAGCAATAACCTCCGACCTTGCTTTGGGCCCCTAGTGTTGGCCATAATTCGGGCTAGCGCCCGTGTGGCCTCTGCAGCTTTATTATTCGTCTGCTCCAGATGCTCACGAAAGCACAATCTCGTATCCAATCTAACCCCAAGGTAGTTGATTGAACGTTTGGACCGCACGAGAGTACCGTCAATTGATATGTGCGCTTGCTCTACCGCCTTGCGGCTGCTGATTAGCACTGCCTCTGTTTTGCCCGCCGCTAGTTCCAGGCCCACGGTGTTCAGCCAGTCAATGATCGACCGGATGCAGCGGTTGCACGCGTCTTCCACGGTTTTGATATCCTTCGCAACGCCTACAATTGCGACGTCATCTGCGTACCCCACTAGCTCAGTACCGGGTGGGAGTTGGAGGCGGAGAATGCCGTCGTACATGACGTTCCAGAGCAGCGGCCCTAGGACCGACCCTTGGGGGACGCCAGCAACAACATTGAGGGATTTGGTGCCAGACGATGTGTGAAACCTAAGTATCCGATCGCTAAGGTAGCTTCTAATGGAGCGCACCAGGCACGTGGGTACGCCTTGATCCACCAGTGCGTTGAGAATGCATCCCCAGTCTGCCGAGTTGAATGCATTTTTGACGTCGAGGGTCACCACCAGGCAGTATTCTTTGGCACCTCCCTTCCATCTGCTACCTGATATTGCCTTCGACGCAAGATCCACCACTCTACTGATCGCGTCTATGGTGGACCTCGATTTCCGGAACCCGTACTGATTGGGGGATAGACCGATTGCTGTTTCGAGCCTCGAGCAGAGCAGTCTCTCCAGCACCTTACCGATCGAGTCCAGGAGACAAATCGGCCTGTAGGATGAGGGGTCTTCGAGTGGTTTTCCCGGTTTCGGCAGTAGAACCAGGTTCTGCACCTTCCAGCAGGCAGGGAATATGCCTTCCCTGATACACCTTCCGAACAGAGTAGCGAACGCCCCAGGGTGCATACAAAGTGCCAGTTTGAGTGCGCGGTTCGGTATAGAGTCCGGGCCCGGCGCTTTGTTGAGCTGCAAGCTACGAGCAGCCAGCAGCACTTCCTCAGTGGTGACGTCGCCTAAGGCAGGCGATAACTCGTTTCTGGTAGGGATCATCGCAGGCGACTCGGGTCTCGAGGGGAATAGGGTATTAACGATTCGTGAGAGTTTCTCAGCATCCATGGGAGCATTGCGTCCGCCAGCGTAGATTCGCTTCACAATGAGCTTATATGCTTTCCCCCAGGGGTCGTGCTCGGCTGAGTCGCACATCTCGAAAAAGCATCGCCTCTTGCTTGCTGCTATCGCCCTTTTCAGAGATCGCCTAGACTCCCGATAGGCATCCTGTCTGAGGGGCGACGAGGATGTGCCGCGAGCTCTCTGCGCCATTCTTCTTGCCCTGATACAAGAGCTTCGCAGTTCCGCGATTTCGTTGGTCCACCAGTAAGCTGGTACGTGGTGGCGCCTATAGGGGCCACGTCTGTCCATGCTGGCGTCGCATGCCGCGCGGATTTGGGCCACGGCGTCCATAGCCATAACTTCTGGATCACCGGAGAGTCGGAAGCCGCTGAGGGCGCTTGCGAAGGATGCTGGACGGAAGGAATCCAGCTTGTATGCCACGTTGGCGGACGGTGGATTCAGCATGTTGCGGGAGGTTGCTCCGACTGTGATTGTGATGGCCACATGGTCGCTTGCCGTATAAGCGTCGCTAATGGACCACATGATCTGGCTGTGGAGGGAGCTACTAGCATACGACAGGTCAATTATGGATCCGCTGCCTGCCCTGCTGAATGTGTGCTGTGACCCGGTATTCAGCAGCGTCAGATCCAATACTGAGAAAGCTTCCAGTAGAGTTCGGCCTCTCGCGTTAGTGGTGTTGCTGCCCCACTCAACTGCCCATGCGTTGAAGTCTCCGCCAATAATAACACGGCTACGTCCCCTGGCGTCGTCTACCAGAGCGTCGAGGACAGAGGCGAACTCCGATAAGGAAAGGCTGGGTGGAAGGTAGCAACTATAGACCCACAGGTCAGAAACTTTGGCTCTCACGAAGAAGTTACCAGCTTTGCATTCCGAGAAAGCGGGCGCTCTAGGCTCACACAGCCATAGAGCAGCTTTGCCGGAAAGATCCACTGCCCAATTGCTGTTGCTGTATGTTCTATATGGCTCGCTGAGTAGCGCCAGACTAATATTCTGCTCGCCGATGGTCTGCAGTAGCAGGTCTTGTGCTGCGATGCAGTGGTTCAAATTGAGCTGTAAGAACCTTATCATCTTAGCAGTCTTACCGCCTCCTTGTACGCCGGACATTTAAAACTACCTGTGGCGTGGTCCGTCGCTGGCAGGCTGTCTTTTGCGCATAATGCGCATCTCGGGCTGTTTGAGCAGTTCCTGGCTAGGTGCCCCTTTACACCACACCTGTAGCACGAGTCCTTCAGATCTTCCGCGCTGCTACACCTTGCTGCCGTATGACCAAAGCCAAGGCACTTGTAGCAGCGAGTTGGCCTAATCACCCCTCGGATGCGGCAGATTGCCCAGCCTATTCTCACTTTGCCTGCTTCTATGAGCCTCCTTGCTTTCTCTGCTGGCAGAGATAGTACGGCAATCTGTTGACCACCGCTCACCTTGCGGATTGACTTCACTGCGTCCTGCCCGATGCTGAGGTCCTCGCTGACCGACCTTAGCGCTTCCAGTATCTCCTCCTTGGTGGCTAGCTCATCCAAATCCCGGATCTCTAATTGGGCCTCTTCCACCAGCGGCTTGACCACAGCCATACCCTGTAGGGCCGCCTCCACAGCTTCGTGGAGCTTACCAATGTCGTGCGTCGGTGATCTGCTCAGTTCTAAGAGCAAGCTGCCGTTACCCGTTCTTCTGATACGTTGTACATCGTTTTTCAGTGACTGCAGAGCCGGAGCCGACTTCACTGCCTTCAAAATGTCAGCGTACTGGGCTTCTCCAACGCCTTTGGCTATAATGGCATCGGGTCTCCTGGTCTTCTGTCGTGTCTGACGCTGAACCTTCGTCCATGTATCAGCCTTGGGAGCGATAGAAGCGTCAGGGGGGTTGCCATTTCCCTTCACTACCTGAGCGAGGTCTTGCGGCTGAGTGTCTAGGGCTTGGCCACTTGTACTCTGCGATGCGGAGGCGAGCTTCTGGTCACGCGTTTTATGCTTCTTTGGAGGAGTCGCGCGCTGGTTGCTTTTGGGGTCCCTGAGCCTTTTTGGGGTGCCAGCTTGGGGGTGGCTGGACACTTTGGGCCAGGCCTCAGCAGTTTGAATGCCAATATCTCTCGAATGCTGCTTCACTCCAGTACATGACCAGTCTATTTTGCTGCAAATCGAGCTGTGCAGCTTCAGCATCTCAGCAAAAATCTCCTTATCCTGCTGGTTGACATGTCGCTTATTTTGACCCTCGAAAAGACGGCACACCGCCTGCAGGTGGGAGCCCAGTTCCTGCATCTCTGCCTGGGCGGTGGTTGGTTGGGCTGGGGGACCGCTAGACGCCACTACTATCGGCAAAGGCGTAGGCGATGAAGGCGCTGCCAGAGGTGTCGAGAATGGCGTATTCGCCGTCTCGGCTGCGTTTGCTGCACGCGAAGAAGCAGAAGATGGACACAAGAGGGGGTAGCTGTGGAGCGTCACGGACGGTGGAGCAGACTTTGGTGGGGATCTGGCCACCAGAGACCTACGCGCGAAAGGATTCGCGCCTGCTACCGCTTCGTTGGTTTTTAGCCACAATTCTTCACCCAGGGTTGCCAAAGGCGCGCCATGCGTAAAGGAAAGAGGCGACTCCAGGTAGACCGTAGGTTGCGCCGGTTGTACGCCTGGTGGCTGGTCGGTGGGGGCCACTTTCTGTAGCCCATGCCGTTGCATGTCGGTCATCGAGGCGGATTCGTGGCGAGTTCCCTCGATGGCCAAGTATTTCTCCTTGACGGGATGGGGGTTATCCCGCCCCTGCTCGGTCACCAGAGCCCCACTGGGATGCACCGCCGATGCGGTAGGGGTTGGAATATAGCCCGTCCGGCCTTTATATAAACTCGCTTAAGAACCCAGCCAAAATATGTTTTGATCCTAAAAGGCTGCACCAGGATTTGGAGTATTAGGTCCGAATTACCGGGAGGTCCTAAAAGTATGCAGCACCAGCGCTGCAATTTACCAAGCCTTGAACCGCCCTCTGGTGTCAAAGCCTGGCACTCTCTTGAGGAGCGGCTGGGTGGCCACCAGATGGTACAATGCAACCCTGCGTAAGCTGGGCAGCCAGCTGTTGTGAATGCAACTGTGCGACTGCCTATAGCGCGTGGGCGGAGCAACAGCTGGCCTGCTTGACCAGCGCTAGTACGTCTCAGTAGGGATCAAAGTTCAGGGGTCAAAGTCCAGACGCCGGACCACCAAACCACAAAGATGGGGCAGGAGTGGCACCCGACCAGGCTTGTGTCACAGACAGGGGTGAGTACCTTCCGCACCTTAGTGACCACCAAGTGTTGGGTAAAAAACAATTTGTTGCAGCCAACTTGCTACTCAAAAATGAAGGAAGAATGACGACCGAAAGAAACACGTCCGCGCGCTCACTTTCACTTTCACTCTCCAGGTCTCTGTATGTGTGTGTGTGTGTGTGTGTGTGTGTGTAACCGTGTTATTTGTTTACACATTCATTGACGCATGCAAACGGCTAGTGGAGCAGCAAGAGCAGAGAGAGTAGAAGCTCTGGCTGTTCCTCCTCCGTCTCCTTCGCGCTCGCTCTTGCTGCTATTTGTTCTTATTGCCGCAATTCTTCTATTATTGTTATTGTTGCTTTCGTTGTGCGATAAGTGGCTTAAGCTATTAATGGGCTTTTTTGTTGCCACGTTCTTCTTTCAATTTTTTCCCTACCTTACCCATTTTTTGAACGACATCGTCTAAAATGAAATCGAGTACAACGTGTTGCTGTTGCTGCGTCCACCACTTTCACAGTAACCACAACGGCAATAGTCACAATTACAAATATGTACAAAGCGGCTTCTGCTGATTTTGTAGCTGGCTATTGTTGTTGTTGCTGCTGTTGTTGGAATTTGCCTAGCTAGGTCTAGCCAAGCGCTCAAACCGGCACCAAAGCGTCGCTCGAAATGGTTTCAAAAATCAATGCGCAGAGGAGGGAAAATTAGAACGAGTTATTTCTGTGCTAAGCGTCTCAAATGTATATACATACATATGCAATTATGTATATGTATATACATATATAACATGTGTGTTTATGTGTATGTTTTCATTCAAGATTCAAAAAGCTGTTTGATGAAACAAGTTTCGTGCACTTCCAATTATAAAGTGCCATCCCATAAACATTTTTATAACAATTGGGCCATTTGTTAGCGCACAATAAAAATGCCAAAAATGTGCGAGATATTAAAGACCTAACCCACACACACGCATAATTTCTTGCCTTGTTGTTATGATTAGATAAACGTTTAACTATATACATACTATAGTATATTAAATATATGTATGGTATGTACATAGGTGCGTAAGCATAACTGAGGGCACTGAGTAGTTAACCGATGACGCCAGCTACCAGCGACAAATTATAAATCTTTTAATAACAACTTCTAATTTCTGTAAAAGATCTGTTCAATAAGTACACGCTATCTTATCAAGCGCCACGCAATTTTCCAATGTACAACAATGCCAATTGTGAAGTATGGAAAAGTAGCAACAAACATTAAAAATTATCTGTCCGGGAATTTTAATTACTTTACACCTTTGATTGTATGTTTTTGTTTCTGCAATTTCCAGGGCCTGAATATGGCACCACCGAAGCCGCCTGGAAGGGCATACTCACCGAATCCGAACGCGTTTCGGATGTGCACATGAAAATCAAAGACAATCTATGTAACGATGTTAGCGGCCAAATAAAAACCTGGCAAAAGGATAATTACCATCACACGCTTATGCAGATCAAGGAGCGCAAAGATCTAGAGGATTTGTTTAAGAAGGCGCAAAAACCGTGGGCCAAGCTGCTGGCCAAGGTGGAGAAGGCAAAATCAGACTATCACTCAGCATGCAAAACGGAACGCAGCGCGACCAATCAAGAGCGGAATGCCACGGCTGACAGTTCACTGTCACCGGATCAGGTGGGTGTCAGTAATATATGTATGTATGTGTATACCTTTAAACTCGCGTTGCGACTTTTTGACCAGCAATTTACAACAAATGAGTTTCATATGAAAATATTGATCGACTTTTTAAGAAACATATTGATTAACTTTTAAGAAGGAATCTCTCCCCTTCGATTTTGTTGACAGGACTAATAATGATTCTATTATATGTTTCGCAGGTGAAGAAAATGCACGACCGAGTGCAAAAGACCAAAGATCAAGTGCAAAAATGTCGTGAGAAATACGAACAAGCCATTGCCGAAATAACCAAATATAATTCGGTTTATATAGAGGACATGACTTCCGTGTTTGAAAAGTGCCAAACCATGGAGAAGACGCGACTACAATTCTTTAAGGAAATATTATTTAACGTGCACGCGTGTTTGGATCCGACCAAAGTGCAAAAGTGAGTTGGAATTGTTCCATAGACCTTTGCAATATAAAAATAATCATATTAATTGCTTACAGCATACCGCAAATCTATGAAGAGTTTTATCATACAATTAACAATGCAGATCAGCAAAAGGATCTTAAATGGTGGTCGAATAATCACGGTATTAATATGGCTATGAATTGGCCAGCATTTGTGGTAAGTAGACTTAGGCAGGCCCGCAAAAATGTAAACCAAACTGAATGTTCTATTGATTGACTTGCAGGAATACACGGAGGAGTTCCGTGACATAGCCAAGGGCAACAAATCAAAAGAGGCGCTACCGGCCGCACCCATAACGCTCATAAATCAGCGTCCCGTTGCGGAGGATGTACACGTAAGAGCTGCAGCTAATAAACCGTTTGATTCGTTAAGTAATTTCCTCTTACTATTGATCCTGTCCACAGGAATATTCAACAACAAATAGTCTAAAGAAGAATGCCAGCGCCAGCAGCAAAACGAGCGGCAAGAGCACAGCCCAGGAACAAGCAATAACGCAAACTTCTGCCACAACAGTTGAATCGAAATCATCGACGACAGCAGCGGCGGCGACCACAGCGGCGACGGCGGCATCAGCAGCAGCGGCGCCATCGAATCGTAATTCGAGCGTAACGTAAGTTAAAACAAATTGTAATCCAAAACACACTCGACTGCGCAAACAAACACACACATACATACAAGTAGTACTAAACAGTCTTCTGTCTGAACGATGCAACCAACAATCGCACATGCATGCGACTCATTTTCATTGAACTAATTGATTTCAATTTGAATACTCACAGCAATGGCAATGGCAAAGCCGATTCAAATCCATTCGACGAGGAGGAGGAATGGGATGAGGCCGACAATGTTCTGACCGACAACGGTGAGCCGGGCGTGCCAGTAAAGGCATTGTACGACTACGAAGGCGCTGAAAGCGACGAACTCACATTCAAACAAGGTACGTTAATGGTGTTGTCGTCTGTTTACATACTACTCGGAATAGTGCAAAGAATAGCTAATTTGTTAAATACGTGTTTTCATTTTTTGATTTCAATCCGTTCACCAACATTTTAGGGACAATTTTCCAATACAAGTATGTTTCAAATCGATAATTACAGAGTAGAATCAGTAATATTCTTGGAAAGGACACATGTGTATTATATTGATTAACAAGTGAAATGTATTTTGATTACGAATATTTAAGGCTTGACTTAATCATATCATCAGCTCTAATTATTAGGACCTGTGTCCGTTTTCTTTTTCGATTCCAGTTTATTTTAAAAAGAGAGAAGTTTTCCTAAAGTATTTTTTTGTTGAAAAAAATAAAAAACAAATTCGGCAAATGTTGTAGCGTTATTTAAAATGAATAATTAAATTACATTACTTTGATAGAGGTTGAGTAGTGTCTGATGGTCAGATTGTTCAGTTAACAATATCAATTATTAATTAACTCCATTTGTATTTTCCAGGTGATGTCTTTGAGAAACTCGAAGATGAGGATGAGCAAGGCTGGTGCAAGGGTCGCATGAATGGGCGAGTTGGGCTGTATCCAGCAAATTACGTTGAAATATTCCATTCATAAGCAATCGAGGTGGGCGGGTAGTAGATGAGGTCGTTAATAAGATAATGTCAAATACAGACGCATGCATATGTACATATGTACCTGTATGTATGTATGTATGTGTGTGTGTGTGTGTGTGCATGTAGAGAATAGAGACGCGCAAAACGCAGCGCAGCAACAAGTCGTTAATGAAATTACTAACATACTTATATGTATTAGAATTTGTTATGAGCAAATGCAACTGCCACACAACAATTATATACATATTGTGTGTGCGTGCGTGTGTTTGTGTGGTGGTAAGTAATGTATTTGACGTTGGGCTTGCAACGTGCAGATGGATTGCAAAAGATACGAGCAAGCATAAGAACCAAGCAGCCAACAAACGAACTCACCACAATAGCTGCTCCTGCTGCTGCTGCATTTACAGAGCGCTAGCATAGAAATTAAATTGAAAATATTGTAAACCTAGAAAAAACAAAAAACAGAAAACGGAAAAGTTGAAAGTATGTCAAAAGAACAATAAGTCTAAAAGTAATTAATATAGCATTAACATAATACTATATATCATATGATTATGCGGCAAACTGTAGGGAAGAAGCACATCCACAAGATGCACGACGTTGTTTGTATGTGTGTAATGTTGTGTTTCTGATGATGCACGCATTTGTATTTGGCCAGCACTGACCGTTTTGTGGTCAGGTCGGCCGATCAGCTGCCTCGTGGGGTCTGCTTTAGGTGAAGCATACGAATAAACGGATATTTGTAATGCGTATCTTAAACACTTTATATTATTTATGAAGAAGTTTTGTGTATACTTGTGTTATAAAAAGTATACGTATATTATTGTATATGTACATTTTTAATGGCTTAAATTATTGAAACATGAAATAAAAAATTTCCAAAAAAAAAAAACAATATTTATATATTTTCATTCTTTTATATATTTTTGCTTAAATACCAATCATCACTTCACATCAAGAACTCAACATTTCATGTCATAAACTCAAGATTGTAACTGAACAGGAAAAATTATCTATTATCTAAGAGGGCAGAGTAGTACTATGCACGGCCAATAATTTTATGAAGAAGAAGTAGATAAGCTAAAGTCGGGTGTCCCGACTTTGAAATACTCTGTACATGTGCTTAGAATAATTGTAGAAATTCAAAAAAGTAGAAAAGAAAAAAAATTTTGATCGATTTTACCTCTCTTGATATTCGAACTCACGTAAAAGGTGTATTTACATAGCTAGAGTGTAGCATAGTATGCATGTCTATGCGTGCCTATTCGTGCCTGTGTGAGCATGTTTTGCAGTCAACCAAAGCACAAATATCAACAATTGGGCAGCAACTATATTTATGGCTATAACTTCCTGTTAAATCAGTCTATATTAATGAAACTCGGCACACGGACACATAATCACTGACTGGGAGTATTTGCAAGATTGAGTTCGAAATTCCAAGAATTACGGGAGTTATATGTACAAGATTACTATTTGCGGTGGAGAGGGGGGAGGGATTACTGTTCTGCGTTTTCACATAAGGCATCTGGGACTCAAATTTGGTATCCCTAGATCTTATAGCCTTCGAGATATAGGTGATTATACGAACGGAAAATCAGGAAAACCCCCATAAGGGGGAACTGTGAAAAATCGGAAAAATAAAACAAGCTTGTCTCGGAGATCCAGGTGTTCATACGGATAGACAGGCAGACAGACAGACATATGTAGATCGACTCGTCTTGTCATGTTGATCAAGAATATAAACTGCGCGTCATCAGGTTAGCACATTTCTATTAATAGCTCTCGCTCATTTCTATTAAAACTAAGAAATATAAAAGCAAGCAGAATACTGTCCGCCAGATTCGAACCAGCCATCCCCACACGTATTCTATTATATTGATGTCGACATTTTGTGTTTCAATCCAAGATTTGATCACTCGGGCAGTATGAATCGAAGCACTGTCGTGTTGATAACATCCAGGAATATTACCAAGCAAATGTTTGAAACGGGGAAAAGCAGTTTTCAATACGTTGTTATAAGTGTTTGCATTCATATTCGTGTTCAAAAATTGCAACTCGCACGTAACATAACAGGAGCTGGCTCTCCACAGCATTACACCGCCCACACGACTAGAAGGTCATGGAAATAAAAGTTATATCCATCGGATCATTCCAAATCACACTTCTTTTCATCCGAAACGAAAACAAAGCTCCAATCAAAATTTAAGCACAGTTTGATTTAATCGTATTTCCTTCCGAGCATATGTAAGTGTTGGTTTTTTCTAGAGTTTTAATCTTTTCAAATATGGAGCATTAAACAGTAGATAAGCTGGCTTCAACACCAAAATTTGCCCTGATCTTTGCCATCGATTCATGAGAGTTGAATGCTTCTCTCAAAATTGCTCTTTTATCAGCATCGGAAATCACTTTATTATTACCACATTTATTATTTATAATTACTATATCCCGACATTTTAAGTAAGAAATTGTATATAATTTTTCCGCTTCTGCCGACTTATTTTGCTATTTCAGTTATTGAAAGCTTTAACTCTTCTTTAGCCTTTGGTAAATGAAAAATGTGAAGCACCCTTTTCGACTGAAAAGAAAAGAAAATAGAAACAAGAAAAGAATGCTAAAGTCGAGCAAGCTCAACTCTTAAATATCCTGTACCTCCCACAAAAAAGGAAAAAATTAAAAAAAAAAAAAATTTTTTTAAAATTAAAAACAGTATATTAATTAAATTAAAGACATGTTCATGTACAGTTTCAACAGCATACATTTACATCAAAATCGTGTCTCTGCGTATTTATATGCGTGTATGTATGCAGCACAAAGTTGAACCCAAGCAGCAGCAACAACAACAGTTGCGGGCAGCGCTGCCGGCAGCGGTACAATCAGAGCATGGGCAGCGATTTTATTTATGGCTATAACTTTCTTTAGAATTGACCTATCTTGATGAAACTTGGTATACAGATACATAATCACTAACGGGATGTAGCTACCTAATTTTAGTTTGAAATTCCAAGAACTACGGGAGGTTTAGAAAAAATTGGAAAAAACACGAATTGCGGGGGAGTGGGGGGTGTATCAGAATAAAAAAAATAAACTTGACCTGCCTAGGGGCTTATGGGAATCTGGATACCGAGTTTGGCTATTCTAGCTCTTGTACCTTCTGAGATCTCTGCGCTCATACAGACGGACGGACGGACAAGGCTATATCGACTCGGCTTCTCATCCTGATCAAGAATATATATACTTTGTGGGGTCTGCCACGCCTCCTTCTGTGTGTTACATACATGCGCACAAAACTAGTATAGCCTTTCACCCTTTGGGTACAGGCTATAAAAACCATGTAACGGTACATTGTTATCACATGTGATCAATGATAGTTCATATAAAGGTGAGAAAAATAGAAAACAAAAAAGTTGCTTAAAGATAACAACAAAATCAGAAGCAATTATATTTGGCTGATGTAGGTGTGTTAACCTGATGACGCGCAGTGTATATACTTTGAGTAGGCGTGGCAGAGCCTCCTTCTTCCTTTTGCATTTTTCAGCTGGCGCAAACCTAATATACTCTTGTACATTTCATGTACAGAGTATAAATATAAGGGGTAAAACTCAGGCTAAATAATTCGTAGCAGGCAGTCAAATTTCGAACCAACATTATGTCATAAAGAAATTATAAGATTATCGAAAAGAATACTGTTAGTATTTAAATCAAAGTATTTCTATTAGCTGCTTAAGAAAAATTTAAATGTAACGGATTGTTGTTATTTAAATTTAAAGTAGAAGACAATGACAGTAGCGGAGTGGCAGAAGAAGAGATTTCTAAGACCTGGCTTAGTCTTTATCCTTATTTTCTTCTTCGTTTTCTATACTTGGGAGTCTGGAACGAGTCTCATCAATAAGAAGGAGGACCTCTATATCGAAACGGACAAGCTCAAAGGGTTCACAGATGTTATTCCAGTTCAATATACGTTTCAGGAATTGGAAGAGTTCATCAGCAATGATACTCAAGTTGACGAATTGAGTTCAAAAGCACCCACATTGCCCATAAATACCGAGCTAGGTAAGACATTTTTTATTAGCTATTTGGAATCGATGCTATTTAGGTTCTTGGCCAGTTACTTGGATCCCAGATCCACTGAATACTACGTGTTCGTATTTTGTACACACCCCGCAGTGCAAAATCCCCGCCATCGATCCATTTGCACCTGAAGTGATGAGAATATTCAAAAAAGAGACTTATAAAAAGTGCGATGAAAGCGAAGATTTTATCACCGTTAGTTTTGACAGACAAAAAAACCGTTATAAGCTACACCTGAACGTTGAGAACACGAGCTGCTGTTATTGGCCCATCATCCGTCATGGGAGAGGGCGAAACGCGGATGAGGATTATTAGTAAGCCAACGCCAAATGACATTCCAATTCAAAACACTATATAATTCACGACTGACAAACCCTTTAGCCTGCTGCCTTGTAGTCATTTCAGTCAGGATTTTGTGGTCCCTAAGCATATAAATGGCATCATAACGAAGTGTCGTCATGTAAATGGAAGCACTATCTTGCAGAAGGACGCATTTGCTTTTGCTCAGCCGCCACGCAAAAGTTCCAGACAAAAGGCAAAAAAGCCAAGCGTCTTGCTCTGGGGCATCGATTCCATGTCGCGTATGAATTTTGAACGCGTCATGCCGCTGACGTACCAGTATTTTCAAAAGAAGGCGTGGTTTGAATTACAGGGCTACAACAAGGTTTGTAAGGCGTTTACTGCACTTCTCATTCCTTTTTTAATTCCATTATCGCACTTTCTAGATAGGGGACAACACCTATCCGAATTTGATGGCTTTACTAACAGGGTTCCGTGTGGCGGGAGCGCCAGACCCTTGCAATTCTGAGATGGTAGGTGGTTTGGATGCTTGTCCTTTCCTCTGGAAATACTACAAGATGCATGGTTATTTAACCGCGTATGCCGAGGACTGGACAAAATACAGCACCTTTAATTTCTTAAAGAACGGATTTGAAAATCAACCCACAGACTACTACTTGCGACCCTTTATACTGGCTATCGAGAAAGAATTGAAAAAATACACCAAGCCCAAGGCTTCAATCTGCATGGGTCGGCGACACTATGCGGAGTATGTTTATGATTACGCCGTGGACTTTACCAATGTTTTGAAGATGCGACATTCCTTTGGATTATTTTGGACCAATTCCTTCAGTCACAACTCATTCTCCAAATCCTCCTCTATGGATAACAAAACATTACAGTATATGCGAACATTGGAAAAGAATGGAATTATGGAAAACTCGATCATTATTTTTCTGAGTGACCACGGCATGCGCTTTGGTAATTTGCGACAGCTCGAGCACGGGTTTTTGGAGGAGTGCTTGCCCGTCCTATACATATGGGTGCCCGATTGGTTTCGCCGGCAATATGCCTCATTTTCACGTGCTTTGGAGATAAATAGGAATCGCCTGACATCGCCATATGATATTTATGCAACGCTTCAGCATATATTGCATTTGAATAACTCAAAGGCCGATTTGCTCCGTCCAGATGGCTGCCCTGACTGCCAAAGCGTTTTCTTTGATGTCCCAGAGACTCGAGGCTGCGAAGATGCGGGAATTCCCGAGCATTGGTGCACCTGTGTTATGTATAAGGATATAAGTACGCACTCTGAAGATGTGTTGGACATGACCTTACAATTGATTGAAACCATGAATGCTTACCTAGACTACAAGAAACATTCTTGGACTTGTCGAAAACTTAAGCTGTTCCAAATTATCTCAGCAAAGGAGAAAATTAATTCCATTGGCAATTTGCATATATATCGTGTTCAATATAGCACGAGACCCAGGAGAGCGCTGTTTGAGGCGACTGTCCAATGGAACAATCTAACAAAACTTATTGGCATCAACATAACAGATATTACTCGCCTGAACTCGTATCACATTGATTCAGAGTGCTTAAAGGATAAGTCTGCTAAGAAGTTTTGCATCTGTATCTAGCAGAGAAGAGGAAGGAGTAGAATGAACCGCAACAACCCCAAAGCAATTATGTGGCAATTAGCACAACACAGCAGCAATTGCCACATAAAAGATGCATTCGCTTCCGTGCGTCCACTCTGGTATCTCGTGGGCATTGTTCCGACCTCTTCTCTCCCTATCGCAAGCGACAATCTCTTGGTCGGAAGTTGCCTCCTGCTTCCAAAACATGCCGGCTGTTTGTGATCGCAGTACGATTGTGTAAAGAACAAATTAGTTGACAATTACATGAGAATTGTCTGCTTTTCATAGATAATGGGCAGTAGAGAGTCCATTCGAAATGCCGACACAACTCAGATTTTATTTCACAGTCCGATCGGTTAACAGATAACTGGAAAAATTATGGCCTGCTTTTAAGGGCTAAACATATTGAAAGTATCAAACAGATTAAATTAACAGGCGCTTTCGAAATCAATTAACGTACGGTTTGGTTAATTGTTATACTGTGTGTTTTTGTAAATTAATTGGATTGAAAACAAATATTTGAATAAACACATTTCACCACCTTATTCGATAATAAACCAAATGAAGCTCATGGCTCTTATATTAATGTACGCAAGACCTTCGAACCAATTGGGACCAATAGGGTTAAAAAACCAAGACTGCTTTGAAAATGCGTTGAATTTGAAGGAATTGAGAAAAGCTAAATCTTTTATGAGTCAAAAAATAACAACATTTATGAATCTGCAAGGAGGTGCTTAAATCAGGAATACTTTATAAACAAGAGAGAACGCTACAGTCGAGCAAGCCCGACAGTGTAATACCCTGTACCCAGGTAAACTTCCGTCACTGAGTTATATGCGCCCATAGCAGCAGCAAAAAGAGGAAGAAGAAGAGCGAACTTGTTGCAGCAGTTTGTGGGGGTTGTACTGGCGAGAATTTGTTTTGCTAATAACTTTTCTTAGAATTAACCGAATTGAATAAAATTTTAAACAATAGTAGACAATTATATATAAATTATGTGTGCAAAGTTTGGTTTAGGTAGCAGTTGAAGTGTAGACGCTATTGACGAAATTCTGTAGCGGGGGAAGGGGGGGAAAATTCAAAAAAATAAAATAAACTCGTCCTTACTCGGACCTAGGAGAATCTGGATGCCAACTTTGGTTATTCTAGCTTTTATAGTTTCTGAGATCCTCGCGTTCATCCAGACGGACGGACAGACGGACGGACATGTCTAGATCGATTTCTCTCGTCATGCTGATCAAGAATATATATACTTTATGGGGTCGGAGATGCTTCCTTCTGTATGTTACATACTTTGCACAAACCTAATATACCCTTTTTACCCTACGGGTACAGGGTATAAAAAGTGGTTTCGTGTTCGCGAACAGCAACACATTTTTTAACTCAGGGACCTAATGCAAGTCTTGTGATTTTAGAATCAAACTGAATAAATTGCAAGAAATTATTAATCAGGGGATCAGTCCTAAAGAAAGTTCGAAAGAGAAAACTTATTTTTTATGGGATTACTAAAAAGCTCCAATGTGTGTACGAGCCATGATAGACTCCGTAATGCAGGTACATATACAAGTATTTAGTATATGATCAGCAATGCCGACAACACTAGTACAGTAAAAACCTACACTACTCCGGGGAAATTATCTGAATACCAGCTCAGTACCTAATGCGAGGACCTTCCAGCATATTTGGGGGTGGTTGCTAAGTATTTATGACTAGCTTATCCGGTTTGCTTTGTGGCTCCACTGAGTCGTAGTGATTTTTAAGCTTTCCAACGTCACTTCTTACCCAACACCTTTTTTGCTTTTTATGGCTGCGATTAGATCCTTTGCATGCGCTTTTCTTTTAATTTAACCGAGAAATAAGTGTATATAAATATTAAATATGCATTTGGTGCTTTGTATGGGAAGTGCAGGGTGAAGTCAACTTTTAAATGTTTCTATGACTCTAAATATGGATGCCCTTTCGCGAAGATCTTGTAAACGTGATTCGCGTTCATCGGCATTTTCAGTTGCTCTCTTTTTGCTCATCTTTGTGGCATTTTTAAAATTATATTTTACATTTTTATTTCTTTACGAATGAAGAACTGGCAAACAGATGAAAAAATGACTGTCAAATAAAAATGATCACAAAAAAAAACAGGAAGCGATGGTTTATCGCTTTGCCGAATCGCCACGAAACTTTCCAGGGTCACCGACGGGACTAATTGAATATTGCCTCAAATTTGATCAAAATCGGTTGAGCGGTTTCAGACTCTATAGCTAACATACATTCATAAATACAATTATACATACTACTTCCATTTGTATATACAAGTATATATAGATATAGATAGATGATTTGCTTACTTTAATAATTAGAGCAATTAGCTAAATTGTATATATTTTTACGCAAAATGAATACATATTCAGCATATTTTGACACAAAGATCGGTAGCAAATAAACTTTCTGGAAATACATTATACTAAGTCGTTCTTCTACTTACCAAAGATTATATGTGAGCATCAATTTAGGAAAAAGTCATAAAGGCTTCGCAGCTTTGTTTAAATATTTATTAACAAGCTTAAAGAGATTATCTGGAAATGTAACTTTTACCTTCTGCTCTCCCTTGGAAGCTCATTTTAGTCTTTTCACTGGTCCGGAAAACACTTCAATTAATAGTGTAATTGATACTTTTTTGTGTAGGCTGATTCGCCAAATACTTAACTACAACTGTTGTGAAAACAAAATTACAAATCAATCAAAACATATTAAAATATGAGACTCTGCTCGTTTTCCCATTCAAAACTGCGGAACAGGCAACGAGCACTTCAGGGGAAGGGTCGCAACCACCACCACCAGAACCACAAACACTGACGATAATCGGAACCAAAATTAGCTCACGGACACAATTCGGGTACATATGTATGTATGTATTCCAATCGTATCAAAAGTATCTGTGTGGCTGGTTAGTTGTTTTTCGATTGGTTTGGTTGAGTTCAGGGGCCGGTTGCGTTTCAATTTCAATTACTTGCGCTGTCTAACCTCCGACTGATAAGGGTAATAAGCGGTACACAAAAAGCCTAAAGAGAGCGGAGCGCTACCTGATAAGCGGTAACGCCTATTAAATGCCTGAATGAGCTCAAACGAGAATGAGGACGAGCCTTGCTGGAGTGCAGAGCGAGCGAGATGGCCATAGTCTGGCCATTTCGTTGCACAAAATGGCGGGCATTGAGTTTGAGTGGCACGACTCGGCCGGGCCTTAAATAGCCAAAGGATGTGCGAATTTCTCAACAGTAGCACTTACAGCAGCAACGCAAAGAGATCGACACGCCATGAGTGATTTTAGCATCGACTATATACTGAATCGTGCCGGCGACAGATACATTGGCACCAATGCCTCCCTCGGAGTCCTGCAAAGACTGCGCGTAAATATACCGCCATATCATCCGTATGCGCAGTTGGCCGCAATGCGCAAACCGCCGCCATCGGAGGAGCTCGCGTCTTCGCCACCCGTGCAGCCGACGGCCACGCCAGCGCAGTTCGACGATGGTCAGATGCCGATGTACGACTGGCTTCAGTATACGCGCTATCATCCGCCCAAGTTGCCGCGGGCACTGCGGCAAGGACCCGCGAAACGCACGCCTGGGCGCCTGCCTCGCATACCTTTCACACCCGCCCAACTTCAAGCGCTGGAGTGCGCATACAAGGACTCCAACTATTTGAGTGCCGAAGATGCAAATAAGTTGGCCGAGTCCTTGGAGCTTACGAATACGCGAGTGAAAATCTGGTTTCAGAATCGACGCGCCCGTGAACGTCGCGAAAAACGGGAACGGGACGAAAGCTGTGACTCGACATTCTCCTCAAATGCATCAAGTCCGGAACCAGAGATGATCGTCATCGTTTAACCGAGGACTGCGCCATTCCAGCCACACCTAATGCTTAATTTCAAACTTGTGATGTACATATATGTATATATGTGGTTAAGGTTAAGGTTAAATAGTATTTTGAGATAGTTTTAAAATATCTTGTTAATAAGGCGACATTGGACTTTATAGTCCAAATAAATACTATACTTGTCTATAAAATTAAAACTCCTACCTCGTAATCTATTCTAATTTTCAAAGCTGTTAAAATATACATTTTTGAAAAGAAACATTTTCTGTTTAATTGTTATTATGAAATTCTTCATGTGGCTTTAGACTCCAGGAAGTGTATACTTACATAAAATACATATATACTAATAAACGATTGTTCTAGCGCTAGAACCATTAAACTTGGAATACAGCTTGTCCTACTTAGGTTTACTTTAGCTGTTGTTTTCGAGGCACCCATATACCACCGATCTCAAATAAAAATCATGTAATGTGGAAGCTTGGAGAAGTACACTATAAGTTAAAACTGTCCAAGCTGAGAGCTCTTGATAAAAATCTTAAATGTTTTAATCTTTCAGCTTAATTTAATTTTACATTATACTTTGATTTAATTTGAACTGAAATCCTAAACACAAAAGCATTTTATAATATTTAGTATTCATAAACAAGGATATAATATGGACCGGATGGATTTTAATTAAATAATACACGGTGCGTTAAAATAATAATATATGCATACGATCTAGAGAAAAACTTCTACAAATCCAGCTCACTTCCATTTTAAGGCGAAATAGTGGTCCATAATAATGATTTTAGACTGCGACATTTGTTTCTAGGGATTACGGGGGCAATTGCCTCCCCTGCTTCCCCCTTGTAGTAAACTCCCCAGGAATTTAAAACAAGTAAAAAAGCTAAAGTCGAGTGTCCCGACTTTCAAATACTCTGTACACATGTTTACAATAATTATAAAAAATAAAAAAATTAAGAAAATTAAAAGAAAAATTTTGTTCGATTTTACCTTTCTTGGTATTCGAACTCACGTAAAGGGTGTATAATTGCACATGTGTGAGTGTATGTATGCCTATGCGCATCTATTCGTGTCTGTGTAAACATGTGTGCAGTTAACCAAAGCACCAGCATCAACAACAGTCGCGGGCAGCGCTTGAGCAGCGCTGCAGCAGCAAATATATTTATGGCTATAACTTCTTGTTAAATCGGTCTATCATGATGAAACTTGGCATACGGACACAATAATTTAGTTCGAAATTCCAAGAATTACGGGAGTTACGATTTGCGGGGTAGAGGGGGAGGGAGGGAAATTCCAAAATATAAATTTTCTGCGTATTCACATAAGGCATCTGGGACTAAAATTTGGTGTTCCTAGGTCTTATAGTCTCCGAGATATAGGCGATTACACGAATGGAAAATCAGGAAAACCCCCATAGGGGGGAAGTGGGGCAGAAAATCAAAAAAATAAAAAAAAACTCGTATAGAATACACACATAAGGCATCTTTGTGCAAAATTTGGTGTCTCTATCTCTTATAGTCTCTGAGATCTAGGTGATCATACGGACGGACGGACGGACAGACAGGGCTTAATCGACTCGTCTTGTCATGCTGATCAAGAATATATACACTTTGTGGGGTCTGCCACGCCTTCTTCTGCCTGTTACATTTTTCAGCGCAAACTTAATGTACTCTTGTACATTTCATGTACAGAGTATAAAAACAAGATAGAACGCTACAGTCGAGCAAGCCCGACAGTAAAATAGCCTGTACTCTCCACAAAAAGGAAAAATTAAAAAAAATTAAATTATTAAAAACAAGTAAAAAAGCTAAAGTCGGGTGTCCCGACTTTGAAATACTCTGTACATATGTTTACAATAATTATAGAGAATAAAAAAAATTAAGAAAATTAAAAGAAAAATTTGATCGATTTTACCTCTTTCGGTATTCGAACTCACGTAAAGGGTTTATAATTGCACATTTACATAGCAATTGCGTCTGTGTGAGTGTATCTATGCCTATGCGCATCTATTCGTGTCTGTGTAAGCATTTTCGCAGTCAACCAAACAACAACATCAACAACAGCCGCGGGCAGCGCTTGAGCAGCGCTGCAGCAGCAAATATATTTATGGCTATAACTTCTTGGTAAATCGGTCTATCATAGTGAAACTATGACACATAATAACCAACTGGGGGTATTTCCAAAATTTTAGTTCGAAATTCCAAGAATTACGGGAGTTAGAGAAAATCGCAACTGCGTGGTAGAGGGGGGAGGGAGGGAAATTCCAAAATATACATTTTCTGCGTATTCACATAAGTCATCTGGGACTAAAATTTGGTGTTCCTAGGTGTTATAGTCTCCGAGATATAGGCGATTATACGAATGGAAAATCGGGAAAACCCCCATAGGGGGGAAGTGGGGGGAAAATCAAAAAAATAAAACAAACTCGTATAGAATACACACATAAGGCATCTTTGTGCAAATTTGGTGTCTCTATCTCTTATAGTCTCTGAGATCCAGGTGTTCATACGGACGGACAGACAGACAGACAGGGCTAGATCGACTCGTTTCGTCATGCTGATCAAGAATATATATACTTTGTGGGGTCTGCCACGCCTCCTTCTGTCTGTTACATTTTTCAGCTCCCGCAAACCTAATATACTTCTGTACATTTCATGTACAGAGTATAAAAATGAATGAATTAATTAATTAAAATAATTAATTTAATTAAATTAGAATACATGTTTATGTTCAGTTTAAACAGCATACATTTACATCACGTACCTTTGCGTGTTCATATGCGTGTATGTATGCAGCACAAAGTTGAACAAAAGCAGCAACAACAACAACAGCTGCGGGCAGCGCTGCCGACAGAGCTGCAGGCAGCGCATGAGCAGCGATTTTACTTATGGCTATAACTTTCTTCAGAATTGACCTATCATGATGAAATTTGGCACACGGACACATTAGTACTAACTGGATGTACCTACCAAAATTGATTTAAAAATTCAGAGAATTACGGAAGTTATAAGAAAAAATACGAATTGTGGGGGAGTGGGGGGTGGGTGTATCAGAAAAAATAAACAAACTCGTTCTGCCTAGGGCTTATAGGAACCTTGATACCAATTTTGGTTATCCTAGCTCTTGTACTTACTGAGATCCTTGCGCTCATACAGACAGACGGACAGACAGACAGACGGACATGGCTATATCGACTCGTCTTCTCATGCTGATCAAGAATATATATACTTTGTGGGGTCTGCCACGCCTCCTTCTGTGTGTTACATACATGCGCACAAAACTAGTATAGCCTTTCACCCTTTGGGTACAGGCTATAATAACTAGTACAAGCAATATATATAACAAATAATAATTGAGTAATTGAGTCGCAAAAGTGGCAACTGGAATACTAGATACAAGAATAAGAGTTTCCACATAATTTGATCGACTCCGAAAGCTCTTTATTATTAAAGACAGTAAAACAACGTATTGTTGTACGTCTTTATATGAAAACTCGCATTTTACAAAAAATTTCAAAAATTATATATGTTATATCAGACACACACATTCACCCTGCTTCCTTCTATGAGTTACTAATAAAGTAAAATTCTTAACATAGTTTGGATATTATTTTATAGTTTATTATTTTTTTTTACATTTTTTTTATTTTTTATTGAGTCAGAGCTTCTCTGTTATTCGAATTCCGATTGTTAACTTCATTTCATGTGGCGGTCCAAAAGGGCTCTTTCTACATACATTTATTATCAAATTAATTCCCGGTCTTCAAAAGCACAATTGCGTGATACGAAAAAGTTTCTTAAAACGCTCTATGATTAGGTATTTCGAAATTAAAGAATAAGCGAACTTAACGAGTTAGCTTTAAGCTAGCATTACATAAATAAATAAATAAATAATACTTAACGAGATGGATTTAAAAAATGTTTGGAACTTTGAATGATATTAAGAGAGAGCTTTCTCTTGAGTTCTATCAGATGCGTTTTTTTGTGCTCCGCATTTTTATTTATTTTTGGTTGTTCTTTTTATACCCTGTACCCGTAGTGTAAAAAGAGTATATTAGGTTTGTGCAAAGTATGTAACATGCAGAAAGAAGCATCTCTGACCCCATAAAGTATATATATTCTGAATCAGCATGACGAGAGAAATCGATCTAGACATGTCCGTCAGTCTGTCCGTCCGTCTGGATGAACGCAAGGATCTCAGAAACTATAAAAGCTAGAATAACCAAAGTTGGCACCCAGATTCTCCTATGTCCGGAAAGGACGAGTTTATTTTTTTTTTTTGGAATTTCAGCTTCTCCTATGGGCGCATATACCTCAGTGTCGGAAGTTTACCTGGGTACAGGGTATTTCACTGTCGGGCTTGCTCGACTGTAGCGTTCTCTCTTGTTTTATTTCTATTTTTATACCCTGTACCCAAAGGGTAAAAGTGTATATTAGTTTTGTGCGAGTGTACATGTAACACACAGGAGGAGGTGTGGCAGACGCCAGAAAGTATATATATTATTGATCAGGATGACAAGTCGAGCCAACATAGCCATGTCCGTCTGACCATCCGTCCGTCTGTATGAACTAAAGGATCTCAGCAAGTACAAGAGCAAGAATAACCAATCTTGGTATCCAGATTCTCCTAAGTCCGAGAAAGGACAAGTTTGTCTTTTTTTCTTCTGATACACCCTTCCACTCCCCCGCAATTCATGTTTTTCATAACTCCTGTAATTCTTGGAATTTTGAACTCAAATTTGTTAAGTTTCATCATGATCGGTCAATTCTAAAGCAAGCTATAGCCATAAATAAAATCGTTGTAGCTCTGCCCGCAGCTGTTGTTGTTGCTGCTGCTTTGGTTCAACTTTTTGCTGCATACATACACGCATATAAACACGCAGAGACACGATTCTGATGTAAATGTATGCTGTTGAAACTGTACATGAACATGTCTCCACTTTTGTAAATATGTATTGAATAATTTGTATTTAATTAAATTAAATAATTTAATTATTATACTTTTT